TTGGTTTTGTTTGTGTTGTTTTACTGTCACTTTCCCCTCACCACCCCCAACAGATGCAACTTTTCCTTTTTATTCTCCAACTCTTTGCTCCTTAAGGGCTCTGCCTGGCTGTACAGCCCTTCCTGAGGAGAGCTGGCACACCAGTACTGATGTTATAAATAATGTTGGCTCCTCTCCCTGCTCCTTCCCCTCCCTGCATGGAGCATGATCGGCTTGATTACGGAATTTGCCCTGTTTAATATCACCAAGACAATGAGACACCTCCAGCCTGTTTAGCAGAAGCTTTCAAAGATATTTACACTTTAAAAATTGAATTAAATAGTTTTTCTCTTTTGTAGGCTGTCAGCTTCTCTATGAGATTCTGAGCTGTCCTTACGGGAAACCTCTCCTTTGAACACATTCATTGCACAGCATATGAACACACTGTACCAAAGGAAGGTCTGAGAGTTAAAGTGCCTTTTATACGCCCACTTTGAATCACTGATTCTCGTTACAGAGCTGTGCCGGCAGCAACCGCTTTGCAAAATCTTATGTGCTGTGGTTTCTAGATTCTTAATCTACGTTCTTCTAACATTTGCAAGAAAAGAATTATTGCCATTAATTTAAACAACAACCAGAAGCCCTGAGTTCTTTAAACAGAGTCAGGAAGAGCTGAATCTGTCTATTCCTTGGAGCTGGTGAATCTCAGGCTTGCAGTAATTGAATACAGCATGCAATGCCAACCTGGTTAGTAAACTGAAGTACTTAGGCTGACAAGCTGTAAACACATTCAAAACAGCCATGGCTCGGGGCCAGCGTATGCACGCTCTTCTAATGTCTTCAGTGCTTCTAACCGCTCTGACTGGCCTTCAGTCAGGTCGCAAGATTGCACTTATGACTGTGACTCAATCTTTTAGTTTTTAAGTCTTTGGAATAGCAAGAAGCACCACCCTGTTGAGAAGAAAACACCAGAACTTTATTGGCATGAGAAACCTGCGAAACTTCCTTTATACAGCTTTCCACCTTCCTTTCTGTGTTCTTTTTTTTTTTTTTTAAAAAAAAAGGGAGTTCACAAGGACTGGGAGCAGAACGCTGTCTTTCTTGCTTTTTCAGAACTGGCTGGGTGTTGGGTCCTCACAACTCCCATGGCAGACAGACAGGAATGCTCTGGCTGCTGCCCCGTGATAGTCTTGTAAGATAGATTTATTCTGAACCGTGTGGTTAGGGAGGTAGCCAGAAGATGGAAGGGCGATGGGGAAAGGCTAGAAATGGATGCTGGCATCAAAGAGGTAGGGACAGTCAAAACGTGAAATACGAGTCAGACTTGTACAAGTAAAAAACGGGCTAACCAAGCTGGGTAGGAAGCATGGGATGGACTGCTGACCACCTGGCACTCCCTGCTGAGTGGCTGGAGTTTGCCAATACAGGCTGCTCCCCACATCCTGCTGGGAACACCCCATCTGCACTTCGGTTAATAGGTGTATTTTCCCCAAGCTAATGTGGTCTGGTAGATGTGGCACCAGCTCCTCCCCTTGCCACAAGCAGCTCAAAGATTTCTGACCGCTTGGTTCTTGCCAGGGTAGGGGAAAAGAGTCCTCAGCCTTGGCAGGTCTCCCTGAGCTGGTGGGGAGATTATACCTACGCCCAGGATGTTCCTTCTCTTCACTGACCTTCTGCCGGGAGTGCAGCAGCAGAGCAGTCAGTGAGGCTGTTGTGGTCACAGCGTTGCTCTTTGTTTCCCTTTTTTGTCAGCTATTGGCAAAGCAGAAAATGCCCTTGGCACCGGGTGCCTCACATCTTGGCGCGCTGTAAGGGGAGAGTGGAAGGACAGTCTCACATTATCTCTGCCTGCTAATTGCTCTGTCTTGCTTTGGGTGAGCAGGTGAGCCTGTTCCCGATTCTCTAAGTGAGGAATGTTGTAATACCAAATAATAAGCCTGCTCCTCTTCTCCCTGGTGTTGGCACCAGCTCCCAGTGAATTTCTCAGTCCTGGAGTACGCTTCATAACAAGCGTGACTTAAAAAGCACCCTGAGGCTGAAGGAGCACAGGGGCTGTTTTCCAGATGTTCATCTACCAGCCAGAGATGCTGCTCAGTGCAGCCCCAGATGACATTGTCAGAAAAGGCTTCCCTCAGCAGGAAGCTCTTGTCAGGGCAGTGGCTCTGGGGAGGAAAGACAGAGTGGCAGCACAATGCAGACAGCAGCGCCCCGGCGTCGTATTGATCCCTGACACAGCAGGAGCAGCAGGAGATCATCTTTTCACGTATAAGGAATCTGTATGTAAATTTGAGGTACTGCATTGGAAACCTTGTAATGTGCTGTGTGATTGTTGCATAAACTCCCCCGGGGGTTTTCTTCAGCAACTGCTGCACTGTAGCTCGAAGCAGCCATGCCCTGCCCTGGCTGGCTGCATCTGAGGAGGGAGTTTTGCAAGCATCGCACTTGGAAAACATTCCCATTGAAAAGGGTTAGGACAATACCGTGGACTTTGCAAAGTGACCTTGTGGTAATGGCCAGGAAGGAAGGCCTCTACTGTGTCCTGGGAGATGTTTGTCTCTCTGAAAGCACATCTCTCTTAAGGAGAGGAAATTAACATTCAGGCAGAAAATGCTGTCTCCGTCAGCTGACGGTGCCCAGCAAGAACTGGCTTGTAAATTAAAGCTTTTATTTGTGAAGAGGAAAACTGTTCTCAGTGCTACAAGGAAAACTGTTGTGCCACTGTCGTGATGCGGAAGTTTGAATCATTTGAAGAACTTGTCATTGTGTGCTGCTCATTACAGATGTTACAAACATACCCAGCTGGTTTTTAAATCCTCACCTCCTCCAAGAGAACCTGCTAAAGATAATAATAGTACTGTGTCAATATTGACCAGTTACCTCATCCTCAGCAGCGGGGACTTCGGAGCGCTGTTAGTTTTGCTCAATGCTTCTTTGTGAAGCTGCTTTTTTCTTTTGTAAGTGTTGTAAGAAATCTTTGGAAACCAAGAGGTATTGTGTTTTTCTTGCACCAGGGCAGCTACATCTCTGCCTCTTTGGATGAAGACAATCTTTGTTAAACTTCCTGGGGCTGCCTGTCTTGATTCTGTGTGATACTGTGCCTTACAAAATGGTCCGTGGGGTGGCCAGCCAAGCAGTGCTGATACAGAAATCATGAGGAATGGTCATAGCGCTGTTGCACGCTTCTGTCTGAGCTGTATCACACAGTGACACGGGTGCTCTCTAGATGCACAGAATCTGTTGCAGCATTTGTTTCCCCATGTAGTTTGTCACTGGTGTTTTTCTGAAATCTTCCTGACACGACTGCTGAATTAAAAATTCCTAGCTTCTTCGAGATGCCCTTTCAAGATTTTAAAAGGCTCTGTGGTTTCTTACTGAACCTCACTGAAGGTGGGATACAAAGCCAAGTTCTTCTTTCCACGTAGTACCTGACGTGCGTGTAAATTTTACTTGTTTCCTTAGAACAGCTTCTGTCTGCCACTTTTATTTAAGAGGTGATGGTGGTATTTGACACCTCACAAAACTTTTATAAAGTAGTTGCTGCAAGGTCTTTTAGCCTAGAAAATAGCTTGTGAAATTTAATGAAAGTGTTCAAAAATCAGGGTGGTTATTGATGAGACCGAATCCAGAAATATCTGGGAGCGGGAGGATCCATTTCTTTCTTCATTTGTAGGTGCGTAGGCTCAAAGTCATACTCAGAATGTGATAGTTACTGTAAGTTACCTATAGCCAAGATACTTTCTCTCCATAATGAACCTCATGTATACATCTCCAGGGTTCAAAGCATAGCACCCTAACCTAAATGGAGCTCTTTTTTGTCAGCTGTAGGGCTTTATGTTCAGTGAATGGAGTGGAGCATACTGCTATGTTTCCTGATCCTCCTGCTGCTGATTTCAATTCCTCTGGATATTAAGAGGAGTAGGATGGAGCTGGGAACAACCTACCTAAAGCCCTTGAAAAGTATCTACCCTTTCAGATCTAACTACTGACGCTATTCTTAGTGACATTTAACAACATAAAAGGTTGCAAGAATTGTAAAAAGCCATTTCTGTGAATGACAGAAATAAAAAGACCTGGAAATAAGATTCTGTAAAGGGTGTTTCTCATTATTTATAACCTTCGTTGTTCGTCCACACTTTTTTCAGAGTTTATGGAAATACTCAGTTTCACTTTATCAGGTTAAACTTTTTTCAGGTAACAGTTTTGAGAGGAAAGATAATTAAAATTCAACAGAGGGGGTTACTGCTTCTCTTAACATGTGATGCTAGTCTTGTATTGATGTGTACATTTGGCCATGAATGTATTTATTTTCTTTTCTCTCTTTCTTCAGTTGTTTTGGTTAAGAACTCCTTCATGGAATCCCAATAAGAAAATCAGTGTGTGCTTTTCAAGCAGTGCTGATTATTCCATCCTCTAACTAAAAATAGACATTGTGCAAGCTGGTACTGAAAAATAATTTAGTGAATAGTAGAGAGTGGGAGAAAGATCAGCCATCTTAACAGCCATGCCAGGCTGTAACTGCTGTATATTCATGTGCATCTGTGTAGATGCAGGGGAAGTGATCCTGTCTGCATAGAGAAACGTGGCTTTGGAGTAAGACCACAGAGAACTCTTGTGGGAGGAGGGAGAGAATTGCACATAACCAAGAGTCTCTAAGATTTGTTTAGGAGGATAGATTTTGATTTGTAAGTTCTGTGTTTTGTCAAGAAGTCTGGGCACCTAATTGAGGCACCGAAGCTGGATGACTAAAGCTAACACCTGTAAATAATCTAAGTGAAATAAATTGCTGGTAAATAAGAATTCATTTAATGACTTAGGTTTGTGTGTTTCTAGAAACAATACACTGAGCACAGGTGGGGTTTTTATTTAGTTGTTTTTTTCAGTCTGAAAGTAAACCAAAATCCCAAGTATGCTGTGGTCAGCTGAATGATACCTTTTAATCTCCATCCTCATTCTTGGTTTTTTTTTTTTTTTTCTCCCTCTTCTCCCCTTTTTATTTTTTATCCTTAACAACTTATTTGTAGAGTGAGCCAGACCTGGAGAAAGGCCTGGAGATGAGAAAATGGGTCCTGTCAGGAATCCTAGCCAGTGAGGAAACCTACCTGAGCCACCTGGAAGCTCTGCTGCTGGTAAGTGCTGGTGGCAGATACCATTTCAAATACTTGTTCTTGAATTTTCACTACTGCTTCCATCCAAGTTTCCCAGGACTTCACATACCTTGGGTTACAAGTTGCTGGGTGCAAAGGGTACCTGTTACTTTTTTTCTCCATGAGAGAAAGAGAGTCTTAAAGGAAGGGCTGGATATGGCACAAGCAGGGAGTTATTAGTGTGGTCTTGTCTTTCAGTATCGTCAACTAATTATTTGACACTATGCTGTACAGTTGGACAGAGATAAAGGAAATGGAGTGCAAAGGGATTTATATTGCACCATTAATATCCTGGGAAAATCTACGTACCAGGGGTGGCTGATCCCCATGAGGGAACTTGTTAATGTCTAGCTTTCAGGAGTTGTGCAAATGCAAATATCACTTATTAATAGGATGAAAAACAACTCTCTGGAGGAATGTGTTGCAATGTGGCAAGGGCGAAAGTACTTGGTTTGCATGATAACGATTTCCTTCTTTCCTCATTTCAGCCTATGAAGCCTTTGAAAGCAGCTGCCACCACCTCCCAGCCTGTGCTGACTAGTCAGCAGATTGAGACAATATTCTTCAAAGTGCCTGAGCTCTATGAGATCCACAAAGAATTCTATGATGGGCTCTTTCCCCGAGTGCAGCAGTGGAGTCACCAGCAACGTGTGGGGGACCTCTTCCAAAAGCTGGTGAGTCAGCTGCCATCACCAAAGCTTCTGTTACTTCTCACTCATCTCACAGGTGCTGGTACGATTCCCTTCGGTGGCTGTGCACAGACCGGAGGGGTGAAAGCCCACAGCTGGGTTAGATGAGAGGCTTCCAGCTTTGCTACTGCGGCGAAGGGCCTACAGCAACAGTGTCTGTTCAAAGATTCCAGGAAGCTGTGCCACTAATACAAATACAATTTCACAGAAATGCTGAATCTCCAGGGTGTCTGCAGTGTCATCACACCATTTGCTTTAGAGGAAGATGGGAGAATGGCAGTGTTAAAAAGCATACCTTTTAACCCTGCAGCTAGGTGTTTCTCATTTTTGCTGAACTCCCTCACACATGCTTCCTTCTCTCCGTGGTGCTTTCCTCTCTCTTGTGCTGATTTTCTCTGTTTTGTGGTCATCACCTTTGGCTTTGCTTTTCTACCACCATCCTGGCCTTGATATTCCCCTTGTTGCTATGCTGATGCAGTCAACCTGCTGCTGAGAATCCTCCAAGCAACCACCACAAAATTTTCTGGATGCAGAACACGACAAAGACACATACAGTGTATTCCTGAGGCTGAATTAAAATTGCTGAGTTTCTGAGCCAGATGACAAATTGTTTGCATTCTACGAGATTCCTTTGGCCCCTTGAGCCTCTCCCCTAGCATGTGCAGATAGCAAAGGATTAAAGGAGCTGGTTTTTTCCTTTTTAGAAAAAAAAAAAGAATCTTTGCATTCCTGAGGTGCCTCTGATTCTTAGGGCAGGAGTGACATTCCAGTGAGGGGTTTATTGGATGGGGAGTGTGCTTTACCAGGGCCACTCAATTGTTAGCAGCTGTGCAGCCCAGCACGAGCCTCATACCCTATGGAGCAGCGGGAGATGGGCCAGGAAGGTGCTGTTTTCCATCCACATCAGCAGTTCAAGATCAAAATTCGGGAATTTGCTTTTCACTGCCAGCGTGTTTTAGCCAGGAGGGGTCAAGTTGGTGCCTTGGTGAGTAGTTCTTGGTATGCAATTTGAGCAACTGGTTTAAGGAGACAAAACCACCTGCTGCTGGTTGCTGAAGCAAAGATACAGAAGGCTGCTGGAAGTGAAAGCCTCACAAACTGTATTGAAAGTGTAGTGCAGCAATGAAGGTAACACTAATTGAAGAAGACCTGAGTATATTCCTTACCACTGCTGGCTGTGAAGCAAGCTTTGTCTCACCATACAGCTACTTAGGCCTTTGTTTAAGACCATTTCTTGCTGATGGTGATGGCAGGTTATGCCCTTCTGTTTTCATGTTCCCCTGATTTTCATACACTTGTAATAGAATTGTTGATTTTGTTGGGTTAGTATTGGAAAGCAAAAGAGCAAATTGCCCTAGTGCAGGAAGCTTTGAGCTAGCTTAGCAGTTTCAGTTTCTGGTGGTTTGGTACAGTATCAGTGGGAATTGTGAACTCTTTGCTCAATGAAATAAAGCTAATAATTCTTGGCAGGCAGTGGGAAGCAGCTAGATGAGAGACACAGCAAGAACACCAGGCGTTACAAGCCATCTACACAGGATGTACATCAAATCTTTTGGAGCAGACTGTTTACTTGTGGTCGTGTCATGCAATCTGATGATAAACACTGGAATCCTCGTTATTATCCTGAGATCCCTGGGGACATTAATTTTCTTTAATATCATGCAAAACAAAGCACCATAGGTGGAAGATAGTGCATGTAAGGACTTCTAGAGTTTCATGTAGTCTGGCACAAAGTATGATCCATGTGCAACATCAGTAACTGTTATTCCACCTTTTTCCTGTGGAAACTAAGGAAAAGAAAAAAAAAAAAAGACACTAGGCATGTGGGAGTGAAATATGCTTCTCAGTTTTGGGGAATATTTTGTACATTTTTTTTTTTTTATAACTAGAAAGGAAACACTTTAAAACTGTTTTTAGAAATGAAGAAATATTTAGCAAATATTATCACTGATGGTTTTCAGGAATGGAAAAAATTTTAACCAGAAGCCAATTATTCCTACCAAAGTTTGTTTAATTTTCAGTGTGTTCTTTTCAATTGAAAAAGAGAAAACTTAAACCACCATGAAAACTGTGTGTGAATGTTATTGCTTTGATTGGAAGCTCAGTTTTTAATGAAAAAGATGTTTTCATGAGGGCATGTTTAGAGGGGGAAAATGAAAGCTTAAAAAAAGCAATTCAGGAGTTAGCAGGAAATGAAAGAGCCACACAGGAATGGAGGTACTTTAAAATTCTGCTGTGTTATCTGGCATCATCCAAACCCAAATGTCATAAGCCCTGCAAATGCCCAGTAATTCTGGCAGCAGCTTCTTCACAAAATTGTGCCCCAGTGGCAAATACAGATTTTATTCTTTCCACACTGTTGGGGCCAGGTCATCCCTGGCATAAGTGAGCACAGTTTCCTTCAGCTTCAGCCATAACCAAGTTATTTTGGATGAGGGTTGAGATTGGTTCCTAATCTTTCAGTAAAATGTGCCCTAAGAAAAAGCTTGCTGTTTCTCAGCCTCTGTTACCTAAAGAAATTTGTGTAGGGAATGTTCTCCCGAGAGTGGCTTTTTCTCTTCCATCGTCTCTTGCACAAAGCTCCATAGAGATTGAGGAACACAATGGTTATGAGAGAGCAGGAGAGAAAAGAGCACTATCTGGGGGAACATTAACTGCTCTGCCTGTTGCATGTCTTGGGCAAAAGTATCAGGGAAGTTGCAGAAATAATAAGGTAGGTGGAAGCTCCTGTGGTAACAAACTTGTCTTTAATGGAGCCTTTTACAGCACTCTACCTGACCATGCACTTGGAAGCATCTTCAGGCTGCTGAGGTGTTTAGAGCACAGCCTGTGCAGCTCTGCAACACAAAGCCAGCTCTCAATCCAGCCAAGCTTGGAAGCTTCCCAGGGATTTCCCGACCTGGATGTTATGTTCTCTGGCATGGATATGGCTGCAATTCCTAAGTCAGCAAATGGGATCAGTGCTAAGACTTGGGGATAATAATGGCTTATTGCTGCACTCTGAGGCCTGCTCCATCTTCTTTTTGGACCAATTGAATATTCGTCCTACTGGAAAAACTGCCATTTTCAATCACCTCTGCCTTCCAAACAGATTGTGCTCTGGAGCTCTCTTCTGTATTTTCAGCGCTCTCCTGCCCTTATAACGGTGTTCACTAATGCAGATATGGGTTAATAGCTGGGTTTGAGGTAGTGTCTCCATCATGCAAAAGCCAACAAGTAGCTTACTGGGGTCACATTTGTGCTGTTGGGCTGAATCATTCCTGTCTGATTCATATTTTGAGGCAAGTAGCCAGCAGCTCCAGTTACATCAATGAGCTGAAATATTAATAGATACTAATCTGGCAGTTCAGAAGGGAAAAATAGATGGCAGTAATAAGGATGTGTCATCCTCGCAGGCTTCAACATCCTTCACTTGTGAACTTATTCAGCATAGATGGAACTGGGTGCACGGGAGTATCTGTGCTGGTTAAGCAAAGCTGACAGGTCAGAGGTGTCTTTCAGGGGCCTGCTCAGCATTCCCTGGCATGAAGGAACACGACCTGATTATCAGATACTGAGGCTGGCCATCCCAAACTGTCCTCTTCCCCAGCGTTTATTTTATTTTGTTTTGCTTCCTGCAGGCCAGCCAGCTGGGAGTGTACCGGGCCTTTGTGGATAACTATGAAGTTGCTATGGAGACAGCAGAGAAATGCTGCCAAGCCAATGCTCAGTTTGCTGAAATCTCTGAGGTAATGTCACGGTATTCAGACACACGAGCCGTCTGGATCTGACTAATACCCTGCCATGTCACTCCTGTCTGTCCTCCAAGTATCTTTGCAGCCCTGACTTCTGGAGGAGTTGTGAGCTCCCGTAGGCTTCGCTGCTTCAGCTCATGTTCTTACAGCGATTTATACTTTGAGCTGATGGAGGTGATGGCATGGACAGCCCTTATGTGCTGTCCCCACCCAGGGAGTCTTGCAAAAACTGGCATTGCTTTGAACTTCTCAGCTCTGTGCCACCTTCCTGCATTTCTGGAAGGGAAAGCTATATTTGAGTTTCTCAAACATTTCTCTTGCTCATGGTGATGCTGACTGTGGTGTAAAAAGCCATCTTTAATGGCTTGAATTATGGCTGCCAGTGGGATTGCAGGCTTTGCTGGTGTGGAGAGAAGGAGAGGGTAGCTCTCTGTTTAAAAAGGCAAGTGTGTCAGCCATAATCTACAATATTATTCATTGGGCTACTCTGATTTCCCCTCTTTAAGAGGAGTACCTTGTGTCAAAGCATTTTGAGTACTTTTTCAGGCTTCCCAGGCACCAGCTTTGCCTGCAGTGCACGGTCTCATTGACTCTTTGTATTGCCGTGATTATATCTTGAAGAACTCAGTTGCCAAGAAAACACGAACTTCATATGTGTGTCCTTAGAAACAATCAGAAGTGAATAGCACTCGGTGTATTTCTTGCTCTGAAAAAAACTCCTGAGTACATTCAGTATCTCATGTCCCTTTTGATTTTTATGATAAAGAGGTAAAATAAAGCATGTTCCTTCTGTGAAATGAGGGAAGCAAGGCTTGCCTTTTGGGAAGCTCACCAGAGTGCAAATGCCTTCTATTCTCTCCTTTCCCAATGATTTCCATCAGATTCTGGTTCTTTGCCTGACCATTTCTGTGCTCTAGTGGTGCCAACTCATTAGTAAAGTATCTTCTCCTGTACATATTTTTCTTTCAGTACTAAAATGCATTTCCCATTTATTTATAGTAATATGTATAGATAGTGTTTTGCTGGAAGACTCCAGGATCCTGGGTGCTGTGCAAATGTGATCCCTTGTTTTTGCTGTTTTCTGAAGGATAATTCTGAAATCATCCTAGTATCTAATGTATTTGGAATGGTAGTGATGGTACTTTTGCATTTGTGCCCTGGTGAGGATTTCAGAGCTCAGCAGAGCTCAGCACATTAATGCACGTAGCTTCACAGTCCATGTGCAGAGAGAGGAGTCATGGGCATTGTTCCTTTTCTGCCATGAAAGAGAGCTGACTTGTCCAAGGTCACCCAGCTCTGAGTACAGATATAAGGAAGTATAACCTGGGGGCACTGAATCTAAATCCTGTACTTTGTTTATTGGTGGTGTACGCGTGCTGTGATAACGGCTGCATCCTTATGGACGTGTCTTTCTCCTGCAGGGGATTTAAAAACTCCAGCATCCCTGTCGCTATTGGTGGTTCCCTGCTTTGCTGCAGCTTTATTGACATGCATTCCTAAGAAAATTACTTAATATTTGAGATGTGTGGGCGCCTGTTTCATGGCAGTGATGGATTTACTAAGAAAGAAAGCATATTTTTCCTGACTTGAACTGTGATGGGGCTGTCCTCCACTCACAGTTAGGCTGTCCCTTGGAGGAGCAGATAGTCTCTTACGTTTCCATGTGATATTTCAAGGTGATTAACTGTCTGCTACATGGGTTTTCTTTTTCTTTTAGAATCTAAAGGCTAGAAGCACAAAGGAATCTAAAGATCAGACGACGAAAAATTCCTTGGAAAGTGAGTGATCCATGTAGAGGAGACTGTGGTTTGTCAGGACTGCGTGGACGCTGTTGCCAAACCTCCGCTCTCCCTTTTTCTTTTTAAATGCTGGAGGGTTATGGAATCTCTGCTGGCTCTACCTGGGAAATCAGTTCCCTTTTGCTAAGTAGCAGAACTCTTGCCTAGTAAGCTGCTTGCATGCGTGAGGAAGCCCCTGCACAGCTGAAAACATCATCTGTCTCTTTGGGCAACACCAGGCAAACCAAAGGACTGCTGTGATTTTAAGAGAACATCTGCTACCCGGTGATAGCATCAACACCATCCTAGCAGTTATTGTTATGTGGGTTTTGCCCTATGGTAGCATCTAGAGGGCTTGATCAAGATCAAGTTCTATAGTGCTTGTCTCTATGCTCATAAGTAGAAGACAACCCATGTTACAAGAAGCTTCCATACTCACTAACATAAAAGCCAATCACTTTCCTGTGTTGGCCTATTACTAGGATTTGGAAACACTCAACCTATCAGGCTGAACTCTAGAAGGAGGGATGCACTGCCAGCCTTTCAGGGACCTCCTTGGCAACTTTAAGAGTGCAAGGCCCAATTCTGTCCTGTGGGACCAGGCAGGTTGCCAGGGAATTGTCAGAAGTGTGCCACGCTGAGTGCACTTGTTCTGTACTACCTTGTGTGCTCATCCACTGCCCGCAGGGCGTGCTCACAAGTGGGCATGCTGTGGACCATGTTTATTTCCTTCATGTATTTATGGGTGGCTTATTGGCTGTTCAGCATGTTAACTTTAGAAAAGGGAATTTTCCAGTAGCTCATTGGTTAATAAACCTGTGCCTCTGCATTCAGTTGCATTGGACAAGTTGCTTTGTAGGGGCTACATTTAGGTACCTCTCCCTTATGTTCCTGCTGCTTTTTTTTCCCCAGCTCTGTTATACAAGCCAGTGGACCGAGTGACTCGCAGCACGCTTGTCCTGCATGTAAGTATCTGAAAGGTAGTTTTCAAACTTTAGGGACCTTTATTATTTTCTTTGCCCTTCAAATTTCCCATGGAGCTGCAGGACTGCATAAATAAACCTGTCATGCTGCATAAGAGCTGCTTCCCTTCACACTAAGGGGAGGGAGTCTATAGGTAGGACCCTGCTGCTCCTTATTGGGGTTTCCAAGAAGTGCAGAGTATTATCCTCTTCCTCTAGAGATAAAGCCTTGCTCTAATCTGCAAGAGGAAGCTGGAGCATCTTGTCTTACAGCTCTAGTTAGGGGTCCTCAGACCCTTCTGCTTTCCAGTGCTGCTCATGGTTCTGTTCTCTGTGTTCCTGCTGTCAGGATTTGCTCAAGCACACTCCAGTGAGCCACCCTGATCATCCACTCCTGCAGGATGCTCTGCGGATCTCGCAAAACTTCCTCTCCAGCATCAATGAAGAGATCACTCCTCGTCGGCAGTCCATGACTGTAAAGAAGGGAGAGGTGAGTCTTCTGCTTTTGTTATTTTCTCAGTTTCTAAATACTGGTTGTGCCTTTTCTGTTGAGCAGACTAGGAAGTTACGCTGTTAATTCGTTGTTGCTAAGATACAGTTTATGCAGTGTCCTTGTTCTCCAAAGGATGTGGTACAGCTCCTCTGTTTTCTTCCCAGAAAACAGTTTGGAAACCCAGAGGAAAAGTATGATTGGAGTTTTGTCCTTAGCACTGTTAAAATCATTTGTCATACATAATTTGTATGATGCACATTGCTATGCACTAAATGCATTTGTATTTTCCTGCAAACTGAAACCAAACAGGAAGCCTGGGAGGAGAAAAAGGTGAGGAAACATTGGAAATCATAAAAGACAGGAAAAGGTCTTTTCCAGAATCTTCATTCTTGCCATAAAACTCATTTTTTGCGTCCTCATTTCTAAAGAATTATGTTGTAAATGGGACTAGGAAGCAAAACAAGTGGAATGGGTTGGGAAAGAAAAGGAAGGTGATTGACTCCTAAAGGTGTTCTGAGCTCTGGTAGGAGCTGGACTACACCCAGGAAGTTCCAAGGTGTGCAGTTTCTTTACCTGCGTGCAATGTTGTGCAAGGAGGGCATAGAGCTACACAACAGTAAGGTCCTGTGTGCCTCAATGGGCTTGATTCATCTGCCTCAGAATTTCAGTAGAAAGCAATTTAGTTCTTCCTGATGAGGAAAGGCCGGGACTGACAGAAGTATTAAGAGAGAGAAGGATGTAGGAGATTGGACGAAGGAGAGGTGCAGTTCAGATAGTATATGTGTAAAAGGAATTGTGGCAGTGTGCCAGAGACACTGGCTGATCAAAAGTGACCCAAATTACCCTGTACAAAAACATCTCTTACAAAGCCCAGGAGATTTTTAAGATACCATGAACCTTCATGATGCAATTCCAAATCCTGTCAGCTAAACATGCTTACTTTTAGCTGTTAAACTGATTTTCAGCTGACAAAGATTTGCTGGAAGCTGCAGTACTGGGAATTTGGTGCACTTTATCCTGCAAGTCTTGCTTATTGTCTCATTTTGTCAACTGAGGAAGTCTGCAGCTGAGAAAAGGAGGGGCTGAGCAATTGGAGGCTGAGGTAGAAGCTCAGACATCAGTCACCAGGGCCTCAGTGATAGTAGATGGCCTCGTTAAAGTGGATGCTGATTGAGTCGTAGCAGAAATCGCAGGCTAGAATGCCCCCTCGCAGGGGAGGGAGCATTTTGTGTTCTCCGGTTGTCTGTCAGCATCTCAATGAGGGATGCAGGCTTTGAAAAGTGTCATGTGGAATCCTAATGAGGTGCCAGAGCCCAGGCAGTGGGGCAGGCTCAGGATGGTCCTGATGATCTCTTTTTGCAGTGGTGTATTTGTCAGATCTTAGAAAGCAGAAAGGGGAGGCTTGTCAGGATTGAGCTCTGCAGGCTTGTTCATACTCTCACTGGTCCTGCAATGACTCCATGTATGATGTGGGGAGGGAAAGAAGGGGATATACCCAAGGAGAGGGTTGTGTGTGTGCTAGAGGGGACTGGGAACTCTTTGTGCTCTCCCTCACTGCACGTAGCTTGCACTGAGCCCAGGGAAGAAAAGGACTTGCTTCTGATGCTTCCCACAGTTTGCCTTCCACTCCGGGAATCTGATGGTGGATCCTTTCTTTAGTCATTTGGCAGCAATATCCCACTTTTTTCGAAGTGGTAACACCCCAGTTGACACCACTCTGTGTCTAGAGAGTAGGTATGTTCACTGTCTGCATCGTAATCCGGAGACACAAGTCTGCTCCCAGCTATTCCGTGTGGGTTAGTGATGGCTGCTCCTTCCTATAAGCTACTCAGCTTGGGGTCATAGCTGGGTTTTGTTTATGCCTGTAAATCTTTCCTTTTCTACTTATCCTTTCCTCCCACTAGCCTTGCTTGTGCTTCCCCTAGGGTGACAGGACAGTGTGCAGTTTGCATCTCCTAATTGACTGCTCTCAATGCATAATGCATTTTTTTTGTTTTAATGAATCACCAGCTTGCTTTGATGGCTTTTTTCCTTATTTGTCTTCCTCCCATTGAAATTTCCTTGGTGGAAAGGAAGGAGGGAAAACAGCCCTTTCCCCTCATGTATTGCTAAGGTGCTGATCTCGGTTATCTTTTTTCCCAGTCCTTGCCTTTTATGTGGAATATTTTTCCCCTTTGAGTGCATCGTGGGGAGGAGTTAAATCTCCTTTGCCAGCCTCTTGCTCCAGCTCTTTTTTTCAGGATTGCTTTGAACTGGGGAAAGCAGCTAGTTGCTAATCTCCCTAGTGACAGGCTGCTGAGGAGAGGAGTGCAGGTCAGGAGAGAGTACAGGCTCATCAGCACAGTATTCCTCCCTTTTGCAAAAGGTGATTCCCTGCTCTGGGAGCATTGACTCAGTCTGACCTGCCCGCTGTCTTTCTGCCTGATGTCAGGTGTCCTACCTGCACACCAGCCCCCAGGTTCTGCTTGGCTCAGTAGGCTTTTTTCTAATTCTAAACTTACGCATATAAACTGAAAGTTTTCTGTGACGTGGGCCTGGTTTATTTTGCTGGGCTCAGTGAGTATTTCGGGTAGTGCAAGGAGATGGGAACAAAGGGAGTAAAACCATTCATCAGAGGGACAGAAAGGGCTACAACAGGGAAGGCAGTACTGATGGGTTAAGCCTTCGAACACATAGTTTGGTCCTTGCTGCTGCAGCCCTTTCCCCTCATGTATTGCTAAGGTGCTGATCTCGGTTATCTTTTTTCCCAGTCCTTGCCTTTTATGTGGAATATTTTTCCCCTTTGAGTGCATCGTGGGGAGGAGTTAAATCTCCTTTGCCAGCCTCTTGCTCCAGCTCTTTTTTTCAGGATTGCTTTGAACTGGGGAAAGCAGCTAGTTGCTAATCTCCCTAGTGACAGGCTGCTGAGGAGAGGAGTGCAGGTCAGGAGAGAGTACAGGCTCATCAGCACAGTATTCCTCCCTTTTGCAAAAGGTGATTCCCTGCTCTGGGAGCATTGACTCAGTCTGACCTGCCCGCTGTCTTTCTGCCTGATGTCAGGTGTCCTACCTGCACACCAGCCCCCAGGTTCTGCTTGGCTCAGTAGGCTTTTTTCTAATTCTAAACTTACGCATATAAACTGAAAGTTTTCTGTGACGTGGGCCTGGTTTATTTTGCTGGGCTCAGTGAGTATTTCGGGTAGTGCAAGGAGATGGGAACAAAGGGAGTAAAACCATTCATCAGAGGGACAGAAAGGGCTACAACAGGGAAGGGAGTATTGGTGGGTTAAGCCTACAAACACATAGTTTGGTCCTTGCTGCTTCTGGGCTGGCTGTAGCTACTCTTCTCTGCTTTGTGGTTTGCTGAGGACTGTGGTACAGATGGGCCAGAGAGCACCAGCCCCAGCCTGGCAACACAGGGAGCCAGGAGGGCTTATCTGGGCTCTTGGGTCTGTTTCCATTCAACCTGATCTGCTACATTCTCTTGCTCCCTACTTTTTTGGTGGATTAACTGCAGATGTCCACTTTGCCAACCCTCTAAATAACCAAACAAATGCATAGAGGGAAAGGGGGTCTGAGTAGCACTGTCCCTTCTGACTCAGAATGCAAGTGGTGGAGAATCTTCCACCCCTTAGGACCATGGAGCAGGGCATCTTAGTTGCTCACTGCTGATCATTCTTCACCACTATCCTCTTGGCTTATATAGGGAACATGTTTAAGGTTCTACAGGGGATAGTCCCTTGGAAAAGTAGGAAAATGAATGCTTTGAGGTGAAGGATGCGCCACTGTTACGTGCCAGAAGGGAGGGAGTAATAACATCTCTAGTCTTATTAACAGAGCAGCTATATGGACTGCATGGTTTTTTCCTCAGCTAAGCCTGGATGCAAATGACTGTGAAGCTTGTGTCATCTTTCCCTGCCAGAAGTAAAGGCTCGTGTTTCCAGCTAATTCAGCCCATTCTCGTAAAACAGGAATTAATGGAACTGCAGAAAACTGCAGAGTCCATTTGGGAGATGGTGGTTCCTTTCTTGACTGCTGCTCATCTAATGCTCTTTGCAGGATGTTGTTTCAGGGCAGTTCAGACCAACCTGAGCAGTGGTGGCTGCCGTTCTGCCTTCCCCTAGCCATGCAGTCCCACCTTCCCTGAGGCATTTACACTGATATTTGTGTGATCCCCCACTGGCATGGAGGAATGGAGCTGCCTAAAAATGAAGCCTTGTTGAGTCACTCTGCTGGCTGAGTGGCTTAGTATCTGGTCTCATCAGCACCAGTCCAGACACAAGAGGGCTGACAGACAGTTTCTTCTGGGATCAAGCCCACTAGGTCACACGTTGGAGCAGCTTATGCTACTGTGCACCTTTTTGCTCGCCCTGGTTGAAAAGAGGCTGCTTGGCAAGCTGCTGTACCACGTTTCTAAATGTGGTTTTAAACTGCAGTCAGGGGACCATGGGTATCATTGCCTTAGGCTTCTGTTTAACTTGGGGGACACCAAGTGTGCTGGGGAAGGGAAAGGACAAAGGATGTTTGCAAGGGAGCAGAAGTGCAGACTCAAGCCTTTGAGAAGCTGGGAGCTAAGCTCAGACACAGGCAGTCATGCACAGCGTGAGGCCTGGTGCCTACTGCTTCTGGCGGCCTTGGGCAGATGTTGGCAATAGAGCAATCAAAAGCGATCTTGGATGTTTCACACTCTGTCTTACAGCTGGAGTCAGAGAGCTCCTGGTGACAGAAGCTTTGGAAAGAAAAAAGAAAGGCTATTAAAATGCTCAAAGAGCAGCCAGTTTAGCTCCCTAGGCAGAGCATCCCTTTATTCTGCAATGCTGGTCTTGCAACACACACACACACACACGAGGAATCATTTTCTTCCTACGCTCTGCAGAAAGCCAAACCACCTCATCCTCGCTGACACATGCCAATACCCATCTCCTGCTTTTACCTTCCTCCTCCTGCATCACACATGTTCCAGTCCTTCCCGGTGCTCCCACCCACACGCGCTGCGGGTCTCTGCTGTCACCACATCGGATGAGCTCTTTTCCTCGGCGCGCAAGTGAGGAGACGGCCTTTTGTACAGCTGTGGTTCTGGATGAGGAGATGTTTAAATTCCACTTCTTGTGATGTGTCTTAGACAAGCTGGTCCTCTGCCGCACTTCCTGGAGTTAAACGGTGCGTGACAGCAGCAGGATTTATCATATGCAAACGGCACTAAAACACTGTAGGATGAATAGATGAGCACACGGGTAGTCGTGAGTTTGGTAGCGGAGGAGGGGGAGATGCTTGCTGACAGAGGTAAGAGGAGGAGGAGGAGGACAGCAACAGGCAATCCAAAGAGGATATCCAAGCACGGAAAGGTGTACAGGGAGAGCTCTTTTGTCCAAAGCGCTGAGGTGGGTGGGAGAAGAAGCAGGTGAAAAAATGCAAAGGAAAACTGGGCCTAGAAAGGAGCCTTGGACTTACACTGCACCAATGCAGGAGCTTTGTAAGAGTCACTGAAGGTAACAGTCAGCCCAGGCCCTGTTTGAGCAATTAAAGATGATCTTAATTCATTCTATTTTGATATGAGATTTTCCCCCGGGCCGCATGGAACATCATTCTATAGCTGAGCTGAGCTCCTGTGCTGGACACCTAACACTCTTAGGGGTGTCTGTGGAGGAGAGGGGGGTCACTCTGCCACTGTCCTGTCACTTTGATCCTAAGCTCGTGTTTTCTTGGATGTTTATTTGGCGTTTCTGTAGTCTGTGTGTCATTTCAGGGTATTTTAGGAAACCTTTAGCACCTTTGCAACAGGTAACCTTAGCAAACAGAGTAACTTTGACAACAGAGAGAGATGATTTCCCCCACGTAGGCTGTTGTATGTCATGAACAGTAGAATCACCCAGCCAAAAGACCTCATGTTTGACAGGAAGCCACCAAAGGAATAACTGTTGCTGGCCCTGAGTGGGAGGAGTTGACCAAAGTGGGCTTTAGCTCCCAAACTGCTAGAGAAGGCCTGTGGAGCTGAGGTGGCATGGGCATCTGACTGGCGGGAGTCCTGTCTGAGGGGGGCTGCTGGCTCCCCCAGAGTGGGGAAGGAGGGGCTGACTCATGTCAGGAGGTCCGGGAAGGTGCCCCAAGCTCCCTCACTGTGGGTTTGGCAGGGATCTGGTAAGCCAGTTGGGAAATCCTTTTATTGTTTCCCTCTGACCTGCTGAACCCTCCCAGCAAGATGAATCACTTGCAACAAAGGATGTGACCCTTTGCTGGAAACGCTCCCCCTCTGCTCCACTGATGCTGAGCAGCCTGGGGCATGCCTCTTTTGCCCAACCCTAACAAAAGTCCTGTTTTCCAAGAGAAACTGGTAGTTATAGCTAATATCAAGCTCCACACCCCTGTGAGGGGAGATTTCCTGATTTGATCCACAAATGTTTCCTCCTGTCCTCTCCTCCCCAGATACTTGGTTCCTTTTGTGACAGTTTACCCCTGCTGCTTGCTGGAGGGAGACCTTCCCAACTAGCCCATGAGTGAGAAGATACGAAGAATGAAAGGTCTGGGGAGCTCAGTGTTTTCTTCTGAGTGGCTGGCTGGAATACATCCCTTTCACCTCTTCACTTCTGTTCCAGTCAAGCTTAGGAAATACAGCCTCGTTGTCTTCCCACCCAGCTCTCTTTCTGGGAGATCATGCTGCCAAAGACTTTTTGCTGCCTCACAGTAGCACTGTGTCTCATGTCAGGCAGGGTATTTTGGACCCAGGAGCGCTTGTCAAAATAAACTCAGTGCGAATGAGTGGTAGCTCAGTCCCAGGTGGGAAGTACGAAGGCTGTTGAATGACACCCCTCTTTTGGCATCATACAGCTGAGCTTTCTGCTTGGGTTTTGGGGAGATGTGGGACAGAGAGCATGGCTGCTTGGGTCACAGCCAAGGACTGTGCAGCAGCAGGTTAGGTGCAACTTCGGAAGGCAGGAGAAGGGGTGACCTGGTTGGAGCGGGGAGGTCTGTAGCCTTGCTGCAGGGAATACTGATGGGCTGTTCTTTTCTTACTTTGTGGAGGCCTGACACAAAGGTTTCTGGTCACTGGTGCCTCTGTACGAGCTTCCCCTTCACATGGGGACACGTTTGTCTTAAAATTGCTCTGGCCTAGCTGGTGGTACTGGAATACTGCCACAACCAGGGGGCTGATCTAGGGCTGAGCAGTAGTCCTGCACAGTCCTCCAACACCTCTCATGGGCCACTGCCTGGGAAGAAACACATTGCTGGCCATGTCTCTGTCAGTAGGGAAGGGACAGTACCATATCCTGCTGGGTAGCAGAGATGAGTGAGCTGTGAGAACATCTTTACACCTACGAACAATGAGCAGAGGTTGAGCTGGCAACAAGCAGCTATTCTCATTGCCCCGGAGGAGCTGAGCTGATTTGCAGCGTAATTAATATGCATCAGATAAAGAAACCTGAAATCAGGGTTTTGGCTTGCTCAGAAAATATCTTTCCCTGTTTCATTATTGCTGCCGAATGAAATTCTTTGAAGCTGTGGAGAGTGTGTTTTGCTACTGACAACATACCTCCTCCTTTTTATTTATTTATTTTTAAAGCTCAGTATTTCTAGTTTCCTACCTGGGGTTTGTTTGCCAGGCCGGAGGGGGAGGCAGGCACAAGTGCGCATCAGCAGCAGAGACATTCATGCAGGCAGGCGTTCTCTCCAAAACCACTGAAGAGAAGCCAGGAGGATCACACCCACCTAAAAATAAACATTAACATATGTACAGGCCTTTCTGAGCCTGAATCACTGCTGGATGCCAGATCTCCACAGCCTCCTGCCCGGAGATGCTAGCTAGCAACCTTGCGTCCCGGTGCTATGGGAAAGGTGCAGGTTTAGCTGCTGCTCACAGATTTCCAGGACCTTTGTGTAATGGAAGCACCAAGATGAGATGCTGACACTGCTGTGTGGGCTTTAACAGCCAGCTGTGGTGCTGGTGCAGCTGCGGACAGGCAAATGCAGACTGTTAGTCTGTGTCAGGAAGTTTAGGGTGCTGTAGGACAGAGTGTGGAAACAAGAATTATGTCTGCAAGGGCTTTCCTCTGCCTTGCGTTCCTTGCCATGATGCCTGCTGGGCCCAGGACTGATGTGGTTTGTGTTCATTCTGGAGAGCCAAGATGGGAAGAACGGTAGGCGGAAGGAGAGGCAGCGTGGGGGTTTGCACTCCCACACCCTCTGCAGCAAATGTGTGCAGGGCTTGTTAAGTCACGCAGCAAACAAAACCCATGGGGCACAACCTGAGAAACTGGAGCATCAGTTCTGGTTTGGATGTCCTGACCTTGCCCAGGTTCACTGCTTCCCTGTTGCGTGCCCCAGTGTAGCTGAGCACAGCTGCCTCTGGGACATGGGCCGTTTTCAGGTCTGTGTGTCCCAGCGTGGGGATTGCAGAGATAATGGCAGCTCCTCAGTGGGTTGTACCAAGTCCCCAGCACGGGCCTGACAGCGAGACAGCCGGGGGTGTTGGTTAGTGCTGGACACTGTTAGCAGATCTCTCCTATCCCCAGCCACGGTGCCAGCTGGGCACATATCATACGTGTAACGTGTCGCTTCTTGGTGTCAAGGGAGCATCCTCTCAGCTAGAATAGCAGGGAAATAGTACGGGTCAGGAAAAGCACCTTGGCCTACCTGTGCAGAGAAGCTGGTGGTTCCTGCTCCTACTGGCTGTAAAGCAAGGCAACACTGACAGTTATACACATTGGTAGGAATAAAATGTGCCCAAAGTTGAATTCCCCTGACTTCCACTTGAAAAACAGTGGGAGATACCTATTCCAGATGTGCACTCAAAGTTCTGTTGGTCTTGACATCAGAACAAAAGGCCTGAACCTAGAGCAGGGCTCGCAGCTTGTACCAGCACACAGCCATCTGTCACTGTGCCACTGCTCCAGCCTGTTTGTCTTTCAGCTACAGAGTCCCCATAAGGGAATTAGGAAAGTGATGCTTCTGCCCATCAAGGTGGGCCTCTTCTTTCGGAGATTGTAGAGCTCCCTGGAATTAGAAACAGGAATAAAGGCATCAGGGTTGTGCAGCTTCTTTGCACCTACCAGGTTCAGAGAATATTTGTATGATATATAAAAGAGATTTAAATAGGCATGAGGTTGGGGCATAACCAGATGGTCCTATTTAAACACAGGCTGAGAAGGGACTACTGCGAAGTTTGCTAGATACACATTTTGTTCAGGAATTTTCCCCTAAAGGCACTTGTAATAAAGCAGCAGCAATGGCATTCAGCTGTTAACATCGACAGCTACTGTTGTGAATGGGGAGCAGAGGTGTTGGTGGAGGTGTTGCTCACCTTTCTCCCTGGTGGGGCAGCTCCAGTGGAATTCAGAGGCCGGGTGACTTCTCAGAGCAGTGGTGTTTGCTGCCCTCTGCTGGTTGGTGAGGGAATGCTGTGCTGTCGGTGAGTCTGGCCCCCTGGTACAGGGAAGCTGGGCGATGACTCACAATAAATTACACTTGGGTACAGGAACAGGTGATGGAGAGAAGCCTGAAGTCTGACCCAGAACCAGATAATAAAGGAGTTGCATGGCCATTTCTGCCCATGGGAAGAGAGGGCAGCAGCAGGGAGCAGAGCTTACAGGAAAGAACATTTAATAGCCTTTTTCTTTTTTCTGAATTAGACCGATTTACTGAATTGGCTCTAGTAGGAGTTGTGTCTAAGGAGTGTGTTGCCTCAGTGCTAAATCTGGGGCTAATACTGCACTAAAACATCTTCTCTGTTTTTTTCCCCAGCACCGGCAGCTGCTGAAGGACAGTTTCATGGTGGAGCTGGTTGAGGGGGCTCGCAAGCTGCGTCACGTTTTTCTTTTTACGGATCTGTTCCTGTGTGCCAAGTTGAAGAAGCAGATTGGAGGGTGAGGTTTTCCTTCTGGACTATGTCCTTTGCACCTCAGCTTCAGGAGAATCATGGGTTTAGCTAGCAATTTTAGTTGAATATGAATATCAGACCTGAGTAATCATAATCCTATATAATGAGATCTAGTTTGACGAGAAATGATCAGCAAAGTAGTACTGTGTATTTTGTGAGATCTTGGCCAAGTCCTGATTCCTCAGGAAAGGTTAATTCTTCCTGTCCCTGCTCCAAGCCTTGCTAGGAAAATAGGATCTTCTGTAGCTGCTGGTATTCTGGAAAAATGCCATTCATTTTTCTGCTTCCCCTATCCTTTAATAGGTGACATTCTTCACTTTATTTTGCTACTAGGGTCATTAATTTTGGCCTTGCAGCTACAGCCAGTTAATAGTTGTATAGAAAAATGGAAAAGGTACAATAAACAGACTATGTGTCAACCCTAAAGTGCAGCCATACAAATAGTTTTGTTGCCATTTTTCACAAATGAGGGTGGAGGAGCCTTTACCAACATATTGCCTCAAACAGGGCTTCTCCTCATTCTGTAAATGTTCTGCTCGGGGAGACCCCTCTCATCTTCTTGCCCTCCTCAAGCAAAAAGTGGTCCCTGCCCATTTTGAAGCACATGCTTGTGAGGAATGAACCTTCAAGAGTGGGACATCCCCAAGAGTCAGATGTTCCTGACAGCAGAGGTGGAGAGGGTTGAAACACTGAAATAGTGAACTGGTTATCCTGGTGAAATCACTGGAGAATGGCAGTTGCGAGCTGTCATTTGTCTCTTCTGGTTGGATTACACAGAGACTTATCCATATTGGCTCACCTGCCCCACTTGGGCCTCCTGGCTCAGGCAGGGGAGACCTGGGTTTAGATTTCAGGTAGCAGCCAGGTCAGAGATATGGTGTGGCTTTTGAACTTTGCCTCTATGGAGGCTTCAAAGGGAGAGCATGTGGGACTGAAAGGGTTTGCAAAAGGTCATTGTGGTTCCTTAGGATGAAAGAACTAGTTAACCAAACAAGTTGCCTCCTTATGCCTTGTACTGGCTATCAGCCCTTCCAGGCTTTCTGCTGGAAAGTGGCCCTTTACCAGACATTTTCCACATGGGAACCACAGTGAAGTTGTGCCCATTTTTGTATCTTATGCACTGTATTGGGGAAGGACTTGTGGGAAGGGGGAGCAGGTGTTGCCAAACACCAGTAATAGTAAAACGTTTGAAGCTTCTGTCTTTCAGAAAAAGCCAGCAATATGACTGCAAATGGTACATCCCACTCACTGACCTTAGTTTCCAAATGGTGGATGAGTCTGAAGCGGTGCCCAATATCCCTCTGGTACCTGATGAGGAGCTGGATTCCATGAAGATCAAGATCTCCCAGATCAAGAATGACATCCAGCGTGAAAAGGTAAAAGGGGTTGAGTTCTCCCTGCCAAGCACGGACTCCGTGTCTGTGCTGAGATGAGGTGCTGATAGAAGCAGCATTCCCAGAGCTGCACGGCGTGGGGAGTCACGCTGAAACAGTGTTCAACAGAGACTTGTGGGGCAGCTCTGTTATCAGGGACATCCAGATGCTCTGCAGCCCATCGTTGCTTGTCCTGGTGCGTGGTTTGAATGGTGGTGTCCTGTGAGAAACAAAAAGATGCTGTAGCTGTTCCCAGTAGCTCCTACACTTGCACGGAACTGCCTGTGCTGCTGTCCCTGAGCATCCATGTGGAGGGCAGGGCTCTTATGCTGTGGACACAACGACTGGGAGTGTCACATGCCAGTTTCTGGCTGTTAAAGTAAGATCCTGCGAGTGATTTTGGTCAGAAGCCATGTACTTCTGAATTTTTGTAGGCTCAGTTATGATTTTGATGCTTTTTCTGACTTCACCAGTGTCAAAACATCAGCAAATACATAGAGAACACCAATTATACTGACTGGACAGTCTGACACAGACACAGTGTCTCTGGCCCAGGCTTCTCTTTGCCTGCAAGACATGTTTTCTTAGAGGTGTTAGACTCCAAACCCTCCTGGAACCCAAAAGAGAAATAAAAGTTTGAAAACTGGAAGCCTGCAGGATATAAATAACACTGCTTGTACCGTGAGAAAAGTGTTCCCCGCTCTTCCAAAGAACATGATTCTGCCTCTCTGCCCTGGCTGGCTTTCAGAAAGGGCTTCCTGGAAAAAGTGAGATATTAGGAGGAACGCCGTGGGGAAGCCTCTTACTCACAAGGTGCAGGTGTCTAAGATACACTCTTTGGTGCATCAGTGCCAAACAATATACATGGTTGGGTTTAGAACTGGGTTTTATACGAAAAACCCCTTATTTTTAGTTGACCTCTGTTGAAAATGGATTGGTGGGTGGGAGAGAATTTCAGCAACAGGCTTCTGGGCAGCTTCTAGAGAAGTTCCTTACAGTGTCCGTAGTTAAGGATGCTTGTGGAGGACCTGGCAGTGCCGTGGCAGTGACATGATGCTGTAGTTTCTGGAACAAAGTACAAGTTGTAGCTGGGACAGTGGCCACGTGCCTCTGCACCTTCATCTGGGCCAGCTGGAATGGGGAACAGAGCCAACTCTGAGTGTAGAGATACTGCAGGTAACATCTTCCTGAGCAGCTGGGAGCCCCATGGATCCAGTTGAAGTCATTTCTCCTGCCTGGGGCCATTTGGCTGCTCACAGAGGGAAGGGACTGTGGATCTAAAAATGTCTCCGTGCAAATGGGGGCAGACACTGGAGAATGACGTGTGTCCTCTGTCTCTCTCTCCCCCCTACCTTTCAGAGGGCCAATAAAGGCAGCAAGGTCATTGAGAGGTTGAAAAAGAAGCTCTCGGAGCAGGAATCCCTCCTACTGCTGATGTCTCCCAACATGGCCTTCCGGGTACACAACCGCAATGGCAAGGTGAGTGGCTCTTCTGGTCTCCCTCAGTGTACAAGACAGAGGTCAAGGGGAGTGTGTGTGTGTGTGTGTGTGTGTGTGTGTGTGTGTGTGTGTGTGTGTGTGTGTGTGTGTGTGTGTGTGTGTGTGTGTGTGTGTGTGTGTGTGTGTGTGTGTGTGTGTGTTTGTACAAGGAGGTCTTCATGCCCTCTTCTGTCTATTGAAAGCACTTTCCAAGCAGCATACACCAAACCCTCACTACACCAGAGGTTATGATGACGTCGTGTATGGCTGTGACTAATTTGTATGCAACATTGGCATTTGAAAAATAGTGTTAGAAATGAATCCTCTACCTCAGCACCTGCTTGAGCAGAGTGATAGCAGCAGCTCTCTTCACCCAGGATAAAGCTCTGCAGCAGATAAAGCAGCTGCCTTCTAGAGTCCCCTCTGTGTTCAAGGCTCAGCGTGCTCAGGGCAGTTCTCAGGAGCTGCAGGCTGCCCTGGGCACCGGGGGTGCTGAAAGGTTGTGAACAGGCTCCTTTAGCACTGTGGGATGCTTGGCCTGCCAGAGGTATCCCCTGCTCTGGCAGCGCTCTAACCTGTCACTGCAGCCTTTCCGTGCACATGGCAAAGGATGGTCACAAGACCCTGTTGCTGCTCAGTGGAAATCCACAAGCTGGTCACTGCTTCCTCAGTTTGCATCAGTGTCTAGGCCTGTGCCTGAGGCTTTTGGGTTTCCTGGTGCAACTGTCGTGAGGAATAGCAGGGAGCTGCCGTGGGACCTGGTGCTGCCAGGGACACAGCTGCTGTTAGCGCGGTGGGACGCTGTGAGAGCTCTGGCTGCAGGAGTCCGCGTTGGTGCTGCTGGCAGGCTGCTGAGAAGGCACATTGCCAGAGTCCTGCCTGTCACTGGCAAAGCTGTGACGTTGGGCAACTGGCAGGAGCACTAGAAGGACAGTGTATCCAACAACTCCCACTGGAGGAGGGGGGGAGGCAGGCAGACCTGCTCTCAGTGGTCACTCAGACTAATGCATGCCCCATTTTCTTCTGTTTTTTCTGCATAGAGTTACACATTCCTCATTTCATCAGACTATGAAAGGGCAGAGTGGAGGGAGAACATCCGGGAGCAGCAGAAGAAATGTGAGTGTCTCTCAACTGGTCATTGGTACAATGTGATCCTATTAGAGGGCAGAAGTCCAGAGGATGAAGTGTGGGGCAGGGTTCCCTGCAAAGAGAGATGTGCATTGAAATGCACAGCACAATAATGATGTCTTCTGTCCCTGCACATCTGAGCCTGTCTGGGGGACTTTTGCTTGCAGCAACATGTACAGAATGTGTGGGGAGAGCCCTTAGTAGGCATGTGGATGGAGAGATTGTCCCATTTAACCCAGAGATCAGAGCTCTGTGCTGTTCCAGGTTCAGGGAACAGCTGCCCCCTTTTACCTGCTTCCAGTCCAAAGAAATTTTTGGCATGGGTGTTTTTTGGCTTTGCAAGAAAATAAGAGCCCCCCCCCACCTTGTTTCCTGAGACTTTTTACTCCAAAGAGTATCTGAATATGTCCTGAGTAGAGCTGGGCTGCAGCAGCAGCACGGTCCTGAGCACCACAGCTCCTGCTGAGCATTGCCCAGGGAGCTGCTCTCCCATGTACACCCAGAGTGAGGGAGCATGCATCCAGCCTCTGCTTTGAATTTTAATTCCTCCCTCTTTGAATCTTTTTGGCAGGCTTTAAAAGCTTCTCACTCACATCCGTAGAGCTCCAGATGCTGACAAACTCCTGTGTGAAGCTCCAGACAGTCCACAACATTCCCCTCACTATCAATAAGGAAGGTGAGACCTTTGGTTTACGCTTTTACATGGTAAAGCTGCAGTGAACAATCTACCTCTGCCTGCCTTTGTGCATTCTCCCTAGAACTGCTCTTATTGTTTCTTTTTGCTACAGGCTTCAACCTGGTGATGAGTTACAAGCTGAGAGTTCCTGTAAAAAAAAAAAAAAAGCTGAGACCATATGTACCCAACTTGTGTAGTTTAGTTGAAGGAGATGATAGTGTATGAAAAGAGAGCAGCAGGAACAAGAACAATCTGTCATCCCAACGTTACTTGCTGCAACAATAAAAATACAAGCTCCAAATGATATGGCTTACATATAAATTAGTAAAATATTCCTGGCCATCCTCCAATGTGTATTCATTGACTATTAAATGGTCTTTACGTGCAGCCATCACACCAGGAATTAGAGTGCCCATTGGAAGTCCTGGTCTGGGACAACTTTGAACTATGCCTGGGAATCCTTTGGAAGAACACTAGTTGACCAAAATTGTGTCAGAGACCATCCTAAATTACTGTTTAATCTGCTAATCTGCTAGCATAGACTTAGCCTCTATATTTTATTTTTTTCTCATTTGAATCTTTTCCATGCTGTCTTACTGACCCTAAAAATATCATTGTAAAAGCTACACATTGCCAGAAGGCGTTACAGGTGAAACCAACACTGAACCTGGAACAGTCTCCTCTTGCTGAAATGGTTAGATTACATGCTCCTGCCACCAGTTTTCAGAACAGTTTATTTACCCTCTGCTCATTAACTGTGTAATACCAATCTCATCACTCTGTCTTTCACTCTTGGCTCCTCTGTGAACGTAACAATATTCCTTGGGTCTTTTGTACAGATGATGAATCCCCAGGTCTCTATGGATTCCTGAATGTCATTGTCCACTCTGCCACAGGATTCAAGCAAAGTTCAAGTGAGTTGCAGTCTGTAATACACAGAGGTACTGATGGGGTTAGTAATTCGGGTGCTGTGACAGCTGGGTGTTGACTGGGGTAGGGTTGTAGCATCTGTGATGATGGAGAGAAGGAGAGGTGACTTGGGGAACTGGAAGGGAAGTTGGGACATTGGTGTAAATTTAGGGGAATGCATTTTTTTAACTCTCAGAAAGATCAGGCTCAAGCATGTGGCATTATTTTTTAGGCCTAGTCTGTTGGGTTTTGGTTGTTTTTTTTTTAAAGCAGTTTGCTAATTACCCAGCAGTTTTAGATACAAGTCAGCCCTTACCCTGAATTCTTTCAATTGTGCTTTGATTTGCAATGAAAGGATGGAAAGCATTCTCTGACATCCAGAATTTTTGGTGTAAAGAAAGGGTTGTTAAAATTCAGGCAAGTGATTTGACAGAAGGATCAAAACGGGTGAAAAAACAGCATGAAGAGGACACCTGTAGAAATAAACCTACTTCTCAGCCACTGCTGAGGGTAATCCAGGCAAAGCTGCAAAGCTTCACTGACCGCGTGGCTGGGGATCCTGCTTTTATCTAAGCTGCCTGTGCAGTCTCAGGAGGAAATGTACTGGATGTACCTGCTTTCTGCTGGCCAACCTCCTGCTGAACCACTGACTTCCCAGATGCTGGCTAACATCCCTTCCAACACAACTTAGAAACAGGGGCAATGTCTGCAGCTCATTACTAGTTCTTCAAAAACACCAGCTACCACATAATTAACCACTTTGGTCCCTCACCTACTCTGAGAGATATTACACTGATGTTGTTCAAACACCAGCTACCACATAATTAACCACTTTACAAAGATAATGAGATTTTGAGGGTTGGTCCCTCACCTACTCTCTGAGAGATATTACACTGATGTTGTTTTTAGGGAAATTGGTTCTGATGTGCTGATGTGGTCCAGTATCTACCTGAGGAAGTTTCATTTCTCATTGCTGTACACCTTCTGCTCATTATGGAGTGATTTGGGAAATAGTGGATAACAGCAAACACCTGATTCTTGATAGAGCTGAAGGGTTTGTTTGTGCTGAGGTCATTTATACAGCTGTGCTGGTACTTCAGCTTCATAAAGGCAGCTCTGCCAGTCCAGATCATGAGATTTGTGCTGGGTAGTGTTGCTGATACTAATACAAAGAACATGCAAACAAAGACACACCCTGAAAGTGATTAACACAAGTTCGGAGATTCTAAAAATTTTAAAAAGGTTTCTGTCACTGTCTCCCCTCAGATTTGTACTGCACGTTAGAGGTGGATTCATTCGGGTATTTCGTGAACAAGGCTAAAACTAGAGTTTACAGAGACACCACGGAGCCCAACTGGAATGAGGTAGGTTGGGTTTTTCTTAATGTGACTTGTTCCATGTGCCAAACATCAAGGCACGTCTGCAGAAGACCCACAAATGGGAGAACTTGCTGCATGCTTAGCACTTGTGCTGCATATGCTGCCGTTCAGAAAACACTTCTATGCCAGGCTCATTTGGCTGTCAGGGCTTGCAGAAGATTTTCTCTTGGATTAGCTACAGTTAAACAAACATTTCAGTACAAAGGAGCCTTGTCCAGCATTTCATCATTTAAACAGATGCATGTTTCATTATATTTTTGAAAGACATAAGTGAGAATATGTTGAAGGAGGAGGTGGTTTTGTTTATTTGTTGTGAGGGGGAAGAATTAGCTGTAGACACTTTGCCTGTTTCCAGCCAACTCAAACCTGCTGGGGAGCAAAATTAAATACAAGGAAGGTGGGTGAGTTTGTTTTCTTGAATGATGCTTTGCTGAAACTTAGAGAAACCTGACTAGTGTGGTTAACTCAGTCTCTGATTTGACCACCTTATAAATACAAAAGACAATTTCAGTTTATTTCTAGACCATCTCCATTAGGGAGGAGGTTTTGGTCAGTCCTTAAGTGCTTCCTCCTGATGAATTTAAGGAGACTATATTGATCACTAAGAGCCTAGCGTCTTGCTGTGATGTATTCATTGCTCTTTCCTTTCCTGGTGCCCTGCAGGAGTTTGAGATTGAGCTGGAAGGTTCACAAACTCTGCGGATTCTGTGCTATGAAAAGTGCTACAACAAAACCAAGCTCACCAAAGAGGACGGAGAGAGCACAGATCGCATAATGGGGAAAGGACAGATTCAGGTAAGACTGTGCTTAACTCATTCCTGCTACCTTTACTGCAAAACATAATGTGACTTCTGAATTCTGGAGTGCACCCAGGAGGGGTTTTTTTCTGCCTTCTGATTGTCTCAGCATTGGAGATTTTTCTCCAGATAGTGAAGTATATGGTGTGATTCAGAGGCTTGAAGTCAGCAGCTTTTTCCCCCTTGCCTTGTCTCCTGTGCCTACCTCAGTACCCTTATGGAATAGGTGCTTTTTCATCAAAATTTACATTTTTGATCTCTGATTTGCCTGCTAACTTCAAAACTTCCAGCACAATATATAGCAACTGCAGTGTCACTGAGCCCTGAGCTGTTCAGGATGCTCCGTTTGTGACAAAAGAGGAAGCAATGAATATACTATTCCCTCTGTAAATCTCATGGAAGAAATGCTGTGTTCTGTACGTGCTGGCTTGGTGTGGCAGCAAGGACTTGGAGGACAGGCTTATTGTCCTGATAACTGTCATGTGCAGGGGATAGTGTCCCTGACAGTGGGCTGCATCTGAGAGGGATTTCCACTACTGAGAATCAGCATGGGACACTTTATGTTTGTGGCAAATTTGTAATACAATAGGGGAGGTGGTGAGATGATTGTAAATGGATTCTGCTCTCAGGGAGCTGCTGTGTGATAAACTGCTAAAGATCCACGCAGGAGAAATCAGGCCATCAGTGGAGGATGACATGGAGAACGTGTTCCCCCTCTTCTTCCAGTTCGTTGCACTGTCTGGCCACAGACACAGCTCTAGGAGGGTGTTAAAATACTTGCTCTGCAGACCCATTTTTTGTGTGGGACTGGCTGTTGTACAGAGCAGAGACCCTGCCCAGATATGTTTTTCTCTCTGGCACGCTGAAAAATAGCACCAGTTCTCTTCCATTTACCTTTTGACTCTTCATCACTCCATGGATGACAGCTCTCTCCAACGTTTGAGTGATGGTCACACAGGCCAAGGCCATTTGCGGGATTTCAGAAGCAGCAGTGATTGAGGGCAGCCCGAAGGATCATATCTCACCTTTACCCCAGAAGAATTCCTTGTCTGAATGAGTTTCATTAGGCCTGTTCCTTTCCCTCCCTCCTTGCAGCCCTGAGGCTGTTGTGGCCTTTTCAGGGAGAGCTTTTGTCGCCAAACATGGTGGGTGACTGAAAGAAACCTCGTGTACAAATCAATAAATGCTGGTTAGAGGGTGGGTGCCTCCTATAGATGTGTCTCAGGCGAAAGAGAAATCTGTATGTGCTTTCTGCTAACAAAAGCTTATTTTGCATGGAGCTGAACAACTACAAAAGAGCAAGTTTTCAGCCTAGAAATGCCCTGGAGATTTGTGTGCTCATAATGGAGAGCCCTGAAATCACTGACCCTCTAAATTCTTCAAATATTTTACATAGAATTATTAAAAAATTAATAAAATCTTTTAAACTTCTAAGGTTGTTTTGCAGGACTGTGCATTTTTATGCACAGCACTTCTATACTCTCTAAAAACATTTCATACTTAATAGGTGAAAATACTCTTTTGTGGCACTTGAATATTAATTGCATCTTGATTCTTTTAGAGAAACCTGAACATTTGAAAATAAAAAAAAAAAACAACCAAAGAAAAAATCAATATAAACCATTTTCGATTAATGTGCAAAAGTTGCATTCTGTTGTATTGTAAAAGGCAAATGCAAAAGTTCTCTTGCTTACAGTAAGTCCCCCTTGCAATTTATAAAGAAATTTAGTGAACTCTCAGAACTTCGTCTTAGTTCTCTGATTTCTCTGCCATCACACAACTTCTTGACACTATTGAATAATTGCAGAGAAGTCATAAGAGAGTCTGGGAAGATGTTGGGTTGATAAGAATCATTGAAGGCTTCTGTTTTGCTTTACTATGTTTCTAAAGCAAACACCATTTTTCTATTAAGAAATCATAATAATGCAACAACAAAATCAAATTACAGCCCGTGGCTGAAGGTTAGCAGTATTAATGATGTCAGCATCTTTTCCAATCACTGTTTTTATAGTCATTTTCCTTCAGGATTTTCCCCAGTGCTTTTACATTAGATTTTGTTTACTTTAGAGTTGCTAGTGTATCTAGGGCTTTCTGGTTTGTTGTTGTTGTTGTGTTGTCTCTATTGAGCCAAAGTCTGTCTTGTGTAAAGGTCTGTGAAGTTGGATGAGGTGGTTTTTTTTTTTTTTCCCCTGAGTTCCTTTTAGTTAAAAACTCTATAAACATCAAGAGTCGTGTCTGCATCCTCCTGCTGATAAAAACAGGGAAATTTCTGTTGGCTAAATGGCAATGTATTGTTAACCGTGTATTATTGTAAATCTGTAACTTCCCATTACTGGGATTTCTGACTCACCAAATTCTCTGCGCTGCAGTGATGAGGACAATGCATCAAGGAGACAAGGACTGTTTTTGCTGTGAAATGTTTATTAAATCTCTCCGTTACATAAAGGCACTGGAGGAAGGAAGATTAGAAACTGGTCCATGTGGTCAGAAGCTTCCAGGAATGGGCAATTTTAATGGCTCCCATTGCTCATATTTTCTTTTCCTATGAAATACTTTATTTACCTGTTTTCGTAGCCACATGCAAGAGCTGCATTGCTTGCCAACCTGCAAGTTTTATCCCTGAAAAACAAACCCACAAGGTTTAATATGGGAGGACCTCATGTAAACGTAGGAGTGAAGTCCTTATCGGACCTTCTGGGAATGGCAGCACTGGATGTGCAGCATTTAACTCGCCAGCACACGTGGCTGGCAGCTTCTGTTACATCTCAGGCATGAGACATACAGGGAGAAGGTGCCATTCCTGGGTACTCTGTGAAACTGAGATTTTTGGGGAACTTAGGGGAGGAAGAAATGGGCATCATCTTACAGGAGGAAACATGAGATTTAACTCATTTGTAATCATCAGCTCCTCTCATTTTGAACTCTCTATTTTATTTTCTTTTTCTCTCTGTTACCTTGCAATCCATCTTTGGTGCTTGGGGTGCTTTTGCTGAGTTTTGCAGTTCACGTGGCAGGCAGGTCCATGTGTTATGAGTGTAGGAGCCTTTAGTTTGGTCCTGAGACTCTGCATCCAAGTGGGCACGTAAGTCAGCAAAACTGGCCTCTGCCTTGGGAACAGATTGCATGAGTAAAGTGACACTTCATCCTGTGATCCGTCTCCTCCGGTTGGTGCCTCCTAGAAATGCTGTTTCCTTTGTTGGTTTTCTTTTTTTTTCTGCATGATCAGCTCAGGCAAACTATTTCCCTCTCCCTCAGAGGACTGCTGGAAAATCAGAGAGGATATGACCTTAGATCAGTCATTCTGTGGTAGCAGCGCAACACCGTTCCTCTGTTGCTATGCAAAACAATCACTCTTATCTGCTTAATTATCTGGGATGTCTCATAGCAGTGCACATGGCTGTTTCAGACATCTATGTTGTTTTCCATGTAAAATAGATTGTCGCATGCTGCACCTCCCAAGTGTCAACTCAGAAAACCTCTTACACACTCGAGTTGATTTAAGCAGTTTGCTCATGTGGAAAAGTATCCCAGCAGTGAAAATAGGGTGGAAATGAAGAAGGCAATGGGTCATGTCTAAAGGATGATGGTGGGAAAGATTAACATGTCAGTGGGGAGCTTTGAGAAGGATGGGGTTATGGCTGGACTGGGAGGTTCCAGCCCCAGTGAGACTCTGACAACATGTATGTGACACTATTTACGATTGAAAATTGATGGAGTGTAAAGTTGCCAGGGAGATTTAATAAAAGGAGGAAGTAATGGGAATAAATAGCATAAAACACACTAACCTTAAGGTTGCCTCAGTCCTTGCTCCCAGGCATTTCTTTTCCACTGATGCTTCTTCATTTTTTCCTGTTTCTGTATGTTTTCTTTTCTCTTCTGGGAGGGGCAATAAAAATCATCAAACTCTGTGGTGGTTTCCTAAGGCAGAGCATGGACACTCTTCCTCTTGGTGTCTGCCTTGCATTTGCCATTGACCAGCATCCTCAGTTTGCCTTTTTCCCAGGTCCTCAGCACTCTGTGTTCTGCTCACTCAGCCTCTACTGACTTCTGTGCACTAATTGTCTTAATTCAGAGCTAAGCTGCTACGAGGGCCAGAGACTTGCACTCAGAAATCCCTGTGGTGCTGAGCTGCTTTGTTCTACTGTGTTTTGTGCAGGATACAGAGAAGTGTTTCCTTGATTCATTAGTGGATTTGGGGCTTGCCACTGCAAATGCCAAAGAACAGGTCACAAGGGGACTGGAGGTGCTGGAGGAGTAAAGACAAACTGGTTTGTTTGTATTTTTCCAGTGCAGCGTGCACTTTTGGTGGGGACTGTGCAAACAAGCCTGTGAGATACAGTCTCTGAGAGTTTTAGCAGGTCTGTCCTATTTGTATAGGTCATGGAAACAACACAGTTTTTCACAGCTTCGGTGGAGATGGGGCAGGTCCTTTTGTCACTCGAACCAAGCAACTGTTTGAAGGAAATGTTTAGAGGTGCAGTAAATTTCGCTGTCAAATTAATGCAGGAGCAGCCATTTCACAGAGCCTCCCCCTGCCTGAGCTGGCGAAGGGAGGGCTGTGTGCTCGCTCGCTCGGAGCAGCCTGCTTTTGGCACACTGTCGGGTGCATTCTTCTACTCGGTGTTCCTTCTTCCAGGTCGCTGATCTCCAAATCAGGCCAGAAGACAGCATGACCCCATTTGTCACAGGCCTTCTCTGTGCTGGAGCATCACGCTCACTGACTCGCTTTGTCCTCAGTCTGCTTTGTAACCTGTCTGCTCCAGCTGCCCCTTCCCTGTGTCGCTCTCGCTGGCCATAGAAGGTCAGTCGTCTGTAGGGTCTGGGACTGAAAACTTGCTCAAAGTCTAAATGACGTTCCTGGTTTCCTATTGACTCTCTTATATCCTACTGTGACTTTATCAGACTGTTAGACCTGATCTTCCTGTCTCGAGAGCTTATTCAGGCTTTGCTCTTTTATTTGCTTTCATCATTTTACTTTGTTATTTAAAAAGCATGTTGGGAGGGCTTTTTTTTTTTTTTTTTTTTTTTTTAATCGCTGTTGTTAGGGCCAGTGATTTATGCAGGGTCGGCTCAGGTCAACCAGACCTGCTCCCTGGTGGTGGTTCTCCCGAGCTGTCTCCATTCCATACAAGCTGTTCTCCAGCAGGTGGGCAGTGGGGGTCCTTCCAGCCCTGACCCAGAGTTCAGGGACAAGGGAGCAGGAGGTAGCAGCAGGTACACTCTGTCCTTGCTCAGCTCCTGTAGTTACCCTGCAAGGAAGAGCCTCTGTGAGCTCCCAGCTCCAGCACCTGCTTTTGCTAGTCCTTTGCAGCCATGTGGTATTCACTCTTGAGACAGAGTAGAACTTTCTTTGGCTCATACTTTTTAACAGCTCTTTACGTGCTTTCATTTTGCACAGTGCTAGGAGTTCCCTGGTCATCACTGAGACATAACCAGTAATACCTGTTAGCTTAAACAAACTGGAACTGGACCCTGCTGGACTCTTCCTTTAACGTTTTTGGCAAATATTCAGAACCCTCTTTCCCCTTCAGTCTTATGCAGTCTGTCCCTGCTATAAATAATACACTCTCGGTGGCTCCATTCTAAAAGCATATGGAAAACTGCTTCCGAGCTGGAGGCTCGGCTGGGAGTGTGTCTATCAGCAGGGCCATTGTGGCAGCTTAACGAGATGACTGTTTAGGCAGCTGGAGATCAAGCTTTCAGGAATAATGAGCATGGTTGCTCCTTATAGGAAACCAGACACTTCAGAAATGGTTTCCTCTTGATTCTGGGAAAGAACGCAGTTGTTGAAAGACACCAAACTTCCAGCACGGAAATTGAGGGAAGAACAGCCCAGATTCTGGCCAACTTGTAGGGACCTTGGCGAGCCGCGCAGGCGGGGGCGGATCTGTTCCGCCAGAGTTATAAGCAAGCCCTCTTGGCAAGCAGTCTGTTATTTGGGTTTGCTGAAGCACTGGAGCTAAGCACTGCTGCCCATCGGCCTCCCGGACCTTCGTGCGGTCCCAAAATGTGGGAGCTACTGGTTACTGACTATTCCTTACAAGGAGTCTTCAGGAATTTCTGCCAGAGTTGCACCTACAGGAACCGCTCCAATTCGACAGGAAGGCTTGTGAGTGCTGGCAGCGTCCCTCTGTGGGCCCACGGCCGTGACAAAGCGCGCAGGGACAAGGTTGGCCTGACTCGCTTCTCTGTCGCTTCTTGGGGTCTCTGCAGCAGGAGCAAGGAGGGAGGAACTCCTCTCTGCTGGTTGTCTTTTTTGGGGAATGGGGAAGGGCGTGGGGGGACTCGTCTCTGTAGCTGTCAGAAGCATCGTGCTGGTTTGTTGATGATCTGGATGAGCATGATTGCATCTAAGATCTCCCAGAACATACTGCAGCTGCCATTGCTTCAACACTTACCTCTGCTTATTGGGGAGCTCTGCTTTTGCACAGGGCTGTGTGAGAGCAAGGAGCTGTGCTGCAGAAGTAGCTCTAGTTTTGCTGAGTGTCTTTTTGTTTGCTGATGACAGTAAATTCAAAACACAGTCAACTGCAGTCGCCTCCTGATTTTCCTGTGTCTCATTGTTCAAGAGCTAAGTGTTACAAAGCCATCTCAGGAGGCACCAAAGTCCTTGCCTTGGCTGGTTCTGATTGATTGCTGGTAGAAGTCCCCTTGCAGACAGGTCTGTTCTCTCTTTTGCCAGTCCAGCTTGAGCTGAGTGCTGCTCTTCAGGTGTTCAGATGTGTTTGGACTCTCCCCAGCAGTACTGGAATGGCTGGGTGATGTTTGAGTTTTTGAGTCAGCTACTCCCCAGCCTCACAACTGTCCACTCCAAAGAGATCAAGCAAAGCTGAAAATGGGTGATCAGGGTTTTGTGTCTGAACTGGTTTCTGTGTAATGAATTCTTGCAATAGCAGGTCAGAAGGGAGTTCTTCCTGCCTCTGTGCTCGAATAGAAATGAAAAGGAACAGACAGGTTGAAGGAGGACAACTTTCTATGATTTCTGGACCAATTTTCTCCATTTCTCCTGTCAGATCCTGACAGAGTTTGTTTGTTACTTGTTTATGTACAGATGTTTATGTACTTGTTTATGTACTTCATGTTTCTCTTCCTTGATCTTACTGTTAGGGTCATTATGTCTCGAATTCAGTGGAACATAGTCCTTCTGGGAAGCTATCAGCTTCACAGCCAAGAGCTCTGAAGTTCTTCAGCCTGGCTTTATATTTCAGTGCAGTAATTTTGCACTCATCCAACCTCACCTGTCCCTAGAAAACTGCAGAGGGAGACAGTTTCCTCTCTTTCAGATCCGAGTTATTTCAGAAGTCCCTCCTCCCCTTTTCTGACTCCCAGTCACAGACTCCTGTGGGCTGGGACAGATTTGTCTGTTCATGTGCCTGTTGAGCTACAGCAGTGAGTGCAGTCACTCTTTCTATGAAGGCTGAGTTTATTGGCTTTCAAACACTGATTTTGCTCACTGAGGTAGTCTCTGTTGAGCAGCCATTGCGTGCGTGTTGCTGGGTTTTCCATGTGAGTCCTCATCAGCCCTCCTTAGAGAACTGCACAATATCTGAGTGTCCCGTTACCTGCAGCCGGGGAAACCTTGGAATGTTTGCTTTCCTATGGAAAAGAATTAACATGCTGAGAGTGGTCGTGCTCTGCTTGCTTACGGAAGCCTTCCAGGTTGGCTGATGTCTCTGAACTCTGTTCCTAGCTCATGGGGGACTTTATGTTTTTCAGCTGGACCCCCAGGCGCTGCAGGACAAAGACTGGCAACGCACAGTCATCTCAATGAATGGAGTAAGTACGGAAAACGGAAGCTAGCACTGCTTCTGTACCTCTTATGGGCTTTATTTCTCTGCTTTTCATTGGAGAAAAAAACAAAATAAGTTGTTTGAAAAGTAACAGCAGTTCTTTGTTATTCAGGTGGAAGTGAAGCTGTCAGTGAAGTTCACCAGTCGGGAGTTCAGCCTGAAAAGGATGCCATCCCGGAAACAGACCGGGGTGTTTGGGGTCAAGATTGCTATTGTCACCAAGTGAGCTGATGGGTCACATTTCTCCCCATTGTTTTTCAAAGAGCCAACTGGCCAGTGGGTTGTGTCTTTCTCTACCCCACCGAGGGGTTTGTCAGTCCAGCCTCTCCGCGTGGGTAGTGGTGTAGGTGGCTGTGGCTGCAGAAAGGAGATGCTGTACATCCTCTGGGCTTCATTTTTTGCAAGGGAGAAGCCAGCATTCACACAGGCTTTGAACCCCAGGGTGTTTACGTACAGCATATCGCTCTTCTGAGTTAGTGAAGTTCACCAGTCGGGAGTTCAGCCTGAAAAGGATGCCATCCCGGAAACAGACCGGGGTGTTTGGGGTCAAGATTGCTATTGTCACCAAGTGAGCTGATGGGTCACATTTCTCCCCATTGTTTTTCAAAGAGCCAACTGGCCAGTGGGTTGTGTCTTTCTCTACCCCACCGAGGGGTTTGTCAGTCCAGCCTCTCCGCGTGGGTAGTGGTGTAGGTGGCTGTGGCTGCAGAAAGGAGATGCTGTACATCCTCTGGGCTTCATTTTTTGCAAGGGAGAAGCCAGCATTCACTTGGTTGTGGGAGGGCTTTGTGTTTACGTACAGCATATCGCTCTTCTGAGTTCCGGAAATACCCCTTGCCCCTTTCCTCTGTAGTTGGCTGACTAGGTCACAAATTTCCAGAGCCACTGAACAGTGATGTTTCCTTTCCATAATCGGAAATGTTCAAGTTCTTTGGATCTTGTTGTATTATTTTAACCCCTGATCTTTTGTCATGAATCGTTTGCCAGAAGAAACCTGTTTGTTCTGTTATATAGTTTGGGAAGCGTGGTATTTCCTCCCTATGGAATTGCATTAATTGGAAAGCAAGAGTGTTGCTATGTACCCAAGGTCTGTTTGGGAATCCTCCGATCACCTGCTCAAGTCGCAGGCTCTGGGGGCACTGGGACCTGGCCAGAAGCCCCAGTGCTCAGGGCAGCTGCAGAACAGCCAAAGCCAGGCTGAGATACTCAGAAAAACCTCTCTGGTCCTAAAAGGAGTTGTTCAGCTCAGGTCTGTTTGCCCAATCAGACTTTCTCCCACCCCATTTTCCAGAAGAGGTTTGTGCAGGGAAGCGATGGGGTGATTGTAGGCAGCCTGGCTGGGGGTGACAGGCACAGGGGGGGGACCGGGCTGTACTGACCCTTCTCTCTGGCTTTTCTTAAGGAGAGAGAGGTCGAAGGTGCCGTACATAGTGCGCCAGTGTGTGGAGGAGATCGAGCGACGTGGGATGGAGGAGGTGGGCATCTACCGTGTCTCTGGGGTTGCAACCGATATCCAGGCTCTGAAAGCTGCCTTTGATGTCAGTAAGTAAATCGTGCCTGATGTTTTCCTTTGTGCTCTGAGAACCTGCCTGAGCTCCCTGTCAGGTGGCTGGGCTATTTTTAATCCTGTGTTCCCTGAGAAGCATTAAGAGGTAGAGATTCTTGCACAAGGAGAACCATTTTAGTCCTGGCTGCATTTTTTATTAATATTCTTCAGCTACAGATACAACCCAAGACATACAACGGGATGGATCCTTGTACCAAATAATGCCTTTGTTATTCTTCCCAGCAGAGGTGAAACAGGGGCTTGCCTGCCTTGCCAAGTCTTTGTAAATGGCAGACACCTTCCTCAGGGGAAGTGGCAGCGATCAGAAGCCGTAATTTCCTCACTATTGTGAGGTCTCCAAATTAATGGAAGTCCTTGAAATTGAGCATGTTTTGTGAAAGGAAGCCAGCAAAAAAAAAAAAAAAAAAAATTCTAAAGTTGACTAGGAGGGGTGTTCATGAAACTGAAGTTTGAGTGGTCAGGGCTCCTGAGTTCTCTTCTTAACATTGTGTCCAGATTGATGTGCACACATTGTAAAATTAGATAATTCTGACCAACCTTTGTAAAGGGTTTAAAAGAATGGCTTGTGTCCCAAAAGGCATCCAAGATGCAGCAAAAAAAAAAAAAAAAAATTTCTAAAGTTGACTAGGAGGGGTGGTCATGAAACTCATGAGTTCTCTTGTTAACATTGTGTCCAGATTGATGTGCGCACATTGTAAAATTAGATAATTCTTGACCAACCTTTGTAAAGCGTTTAAAAGAATGGCTTGTGTGTCCCAAAAGCATCCAAGATCAGGCAGGTGAAACACCTCCAAGTTTCTGAGGTACAAAAATGAAATTCTGCCCTACTTCCAGCTGCCACGTGATGGTCCAAGCCACACTCAAGCTCTCTTTTGATGCAAACAGTCATGAGGCTGGTGCCAGGTGCCCAAATGCACCCTCCCTGCACTTTTTCTTCACTTATTTTATTAAATTTCTTCTTCCTTATATATTCTTTTCAGTCCCCCCTAAGCTACCGCACACATTGGTTTATCAATCTTCACTAGTAAAAGTAAAGGTATTTCACGTTTTGAAAACCAACATTTTTCATTTATATGAAATGGTGGTTTACACCAAGCTTTGTGAAACCAGCACTGGTTCTGCTGGTTGGTCTGTTTGGTTTAGGGAAAGAGGGTGCTTTTGTTGTTCCTAATAGTAATAAAACTGAAATGTGAGCCCTGAATTGCCTGTGTGCCTTAGCGATGCTGGGTGGGGAGTTAGACAGCCTCAGAGTCCCCTATTTGAAGCTGTTAGAGGCAGGGGATTGGAATAACAATTGTTGTCACTAACAAAAGTTGAAATGCATATAAATACAGTCAAGCAGGGCTTGTTCCAGATCAGGCTGAGGTCGCTGGCACAGCGTAACTAACCCTGGGAAGCATGAGGTTCCCTCTACTTGATTTAAAGCTATAAACTGTTTGCAGTTATTTATGCAGCACTTTTCAGTTGTCAGAAAACAGCTCATTTAATCCGGAGAAATGTAAACAGGAAAACTCTCAGCTCTTTGGGCCAAGACAAAGGATAAACAAAGAGGCTCCAAGCAAGAGGGCGGCTGAATGCAAGGCCAGCAGTTTCTTTACCCTGCGTCCCCTGCTCCCTCTTTCAGATAACAAAGACGTGTCGGTGATGATGAGCGAGATGGATGTCAACGCCATCGCGGGCACCCTGAAGCTCTACTTCCGGGAGCTGCCTGAACCCCTCTTTACGGACGAGCTGTACCCCAACTTTGCTGAGGGCATTGGTAGGTAGTGGCAGAAATACCCCTTGGTAGCAGGGTCTGTGCTGAAGACGCTGTTCTGGAGTCTGAGGAGACTGCTCCTCAAGCAATACAAACCCATATTTATAGTGTTGGACAGAAGCCTGGAACAAGCTGTGAGGGAAGTGAAATGGAGCTCAGATATGAGCGTTGGAATGACATATTCTTCCGATGAGCTTGAATATGGGCAGTTGCCATGTCTTTTTGGAAGTGGAAAATGCCCAGGTTCTGAAGGATGGGTTAAGAATAGAATGACAGCCCAGTGCTTGCTGTTTGCCCCATTCGGTCTCCCAGGGAAGTCTTTGGGGAGCGGGGGGATATACCTTGTCTTATCTTCATGCAGGGGAAAACAATCATAATGGTTAAAAGTCTGAATAGACTTGAACTGCTTGAGAGTAAAGGAATCTTTACATATCTATGAAATAAAGAGATCCTGTGGGGCATTGGGGTGCGACTCCGACCTTCCCAGCTATGATGTCTATTCGGGACCATCTGTACTTGGTGGTGTGGGAAATGAGGCAGGCAGTCAAATTGCTATCACTGCCTCTGCTGATGTTTTGTTATTTTTTGTCTTGTAGCACTTTCAGACCCTGTTGCAAAGGAGAGCTGTATGTTGAATCTGTTGTTATCACTTCCAGAACCCAACCTTGTGACATTCCTTTTCCTTTTGGACCATTTAAAAAGGTAATACGGGGGTCCTCTAGACACGGATTTACTGCGTAAAGCATCATTGCTTTGAAAAGAGGAGCCTTTTCCTTGAATTTATGCTGAATCACACAAATGAAGAAGCATTTGCTGATTTGTTGTGAATGCTCATCGGATAACTATTGTCTCAGAGTCACTTAGTGAGGCACTAAATCCTGAATTCTATTCTCACTCGTACTGAAAGGATTAGAGCTGAAGGAAGGATGAGGCAGGCAGTCAAATTGCTATCACTGCCTCTGCTGATGTTTTGTTATTTTTTGTCTTGTAGCACTTTCAGACCCTGTTGCAAAGGAGAGCTGTATGTTGAATCTGTTGTTATCACTTCCAGAACCCAACCTTGTGACATTCCTTTTCCTTTTGGACCATTTAAAAAGGTAATACGGGGGTCCTCTAGACACGGATTTACTGCGTAAAGCATCATTGCTTTGAAAAGAGGAGCCTTTTCCTTGAATTTATGCTGAATCACACAAATGAAGAAGCATTTGCTGATTTGTTGTGAATGCTCATCGGATAACTATTGTCTCAGAGTCACTTAGTGAGGCACTAAATCCTGAATTCTATTCTCACTCGTACTGAAAGGATTAGAGCTGAAGGAAGGGGGTAACAAAAGTTTTGGGGCTTATCTAGTGCAAATGCAAATTCTTGCTGCAATATCGCTGCAGAACTGCACCTGCATCTGGATACAAAGTTCAAGAAAGGTTTTAGTATAAATTGTGACGCTTTGGCCGTGTTTGAGGACTTGTGAGCCCCTTCTCAAAAGGTGTCTACAATCTAATATTTTTAAAAATTCCAACTTTGCACTTCTGCTAACTGGACTTGTCAGTTCCATGCCTAGACTAGTCTTTCTGATCTTGTCTATTTCTTTGTAATTATGGTTGTAACTGTAACAGAGTATTTCCATGTGTTTGATATTAATGCAATAAGCTTAATACATGCACGGTGTGCTAATTTACATATGTATTTTGTACACACCAGAGACTGTCACTGGAGAGATGAAAGATAATCTTGTGACTGAGGTTCTGGATTAAAATCCAGGAAATCTGGGTTTTACTTGTGTTTCTGCTGCAGACTTCTCTGCCCTTGGGTAAATTTTTTTAACCCATGTGTCTCAGTTTGTTGTTTATGAAATGGGAACAAAAACTTTCCTTTTTTACTGTCTGGACAGTCAGCAGCAGCCCCTTTCCTGGGTTTGAGCCGTGTCTGTTGAGTGCCTGGAGACAGTGGTTGTGTCAGATTAAGGTATTACTTATATATAAAGTTCACTGAGGCACACATGGAGAGAGCGGTTCATTGAATGTATCTAAAACTTTTTACAAAAGGAATAAATATGGTTTCTTACTTCCGGACACTTCCAAACTCAGATGTTTATGAAGACCTGCCTTGTTCATTGTCCATTCTGCCAGGGTTGCTGAGCGGGAGAGCGTTAACAAGATGTCCCTGCATAATCTTGCAACTGTCTTTGGACCAACGCTGCTGAGGCCTTCAGAGAAGGACAGTAAAATCCCCGCGAACCCAACCCAGCCCATCACAATGACGGACAGTTGGTCACTAGAAGTCATGTCCCAGGTAAATCCTAAGGGGGAATCCTAAGGGTGCTGTTGGATCTTGTGAAGGCTGAAACTGCAGTCCTCCAGCAGGCCTGGCTCAGCCATCCTGCTGTGCTTTCATGGCAGGTTCTTTTGAGAAACATAAACAGTTTTCACCCTCACACAGACGCTTTAGACTGTTTGTAGAACTGAGTTTCTTTGGGCAGTTCTGTTTGCATCTGCACTAATGCAGCTTGTCATGAAAAACTGTCGCTGTGCACGCAATCCTCTGTGTGTTGTGTTTTTTGAGGGCCGTCTCAGAGCCGCGTATCGCTGGGCTGCGGTAAAAGGACCATCAGTGTTTTTCTGTTACACTCCTCAACACTTAAACCACCTTCACTGATGCACAACAAAATTCTTTCCTAAATTTGGATTTCTTTGGCCACTGCCGCCTTTTGAAGGCGATGCAGAGAATTTGAGCATCGAGGCTGTGTCAGCTGGTCGGGCTGGTTTGTACTCTCTTGGTTGAGTGATGGCAGATTGGAGATCGGACTTTGTTCAGTGCAGGGGAACAGCAGCACCATTTTTAAACCCTGGAAGCTGAAAAGAGTGTCTCTGAAGCACTGCAAGTTTCAGTATCTCTGCTGTTATACACTGTATTAAAACAAATACATAACTGCAAGATCTCCCTGTGGAGAGAGCTGTAGGGGTGTCTGCCAAGGCTCAAATAGCCAGGATGAGAAGGAGTGAATGAGCTTTATTATCACCTCTTTCTTTCTCTTTCCAGGTTCAAGTTCTTCTGTACTTCCTGCAGCTAGAGACTATCCCCACCCCGGACAGCAAGAGGCAAAGTATTCTCTTTTCCACAGAGGTGTAGGTGCCCGTGGTACCAACAGGATGCAAAAAAACTGCTCTTGGCCTAAATCTGCCCCACCTGAGAAAAAGACGACTGGTGTTTCTTCAGACATTGCCGGCCTGTTCCTGTCCTGGGGAATTAGGGCCCTTCTGCTGTTTGTTAACCAGGGCCAGGCTGAAGGGAAAGGAGAAGAGTTTCTGCTTTGGATTGGTAGGAGCAGAGCTGAGCTGGAGATGGAGCTGAATCTCCACTAGAAGGAGCAATAGACACTTGGACAATGCACCACAGAGTGTGGCGTTTATTCTTGGTGGGAATGTGACAGAAGGTATTCCTCCTTTTATGGATTTAATTTATCATAAAGAAACTTCAAGATTTCTACTGGACCACTTGATAGGATACCCCTTTTTGGGTGAGGGGGAGTTAAAGGATATATCACAACTGTGTCTTTAATAACTGCTGTTTTTAAAGTACTGTTCTAGGCCACAAAAATAGCATTGCTTTGCGAGAGGAGAGGGGGAAGGGTCTGGGATCTGAGATTCCCTCCTCAGAAATTCAAGTCTTGATTTGAACAGGGTTCTGAAGAAATGAAACAGTTTTGCATACAACTACAGCTGTTGGTTTGTTGGGGGTTGTTTTGTTTGGTTTTGTTTTTTTTTTCCATCTCGCCCACCCCTTCCCTGGCAAATGTTTATGCAGCTCTGGGGAAGGAGATGCCCTGCTCTTGCCTGTTGCACTTCTGATGGTTTTCTTTGGGTTAAGGGAGCCAGACCCAGCGATATTCCACTATAAATAAATATAGCAAGTTAAAGAGAGGCAGGGAGGATTAGAGTCAGTGACTCTGTTAGTGATTCTGTTGTTTGTTGCATATAAAAGCAGGGACAATATTATCCAGGCAGGACTGCTAAATTCCTTAGACCCCACCAAACTTAATGAAAATTAATTGGGAAGGCTATTAATTCCCAACACTCCAAAGAAAGATGTTAGCATCTTTTGTTATCATCTAATTGAAGCATTTGTGGACACACAAAAAAATAATCAGTGGCTATCAGTTTGGCTCACTGCTTACTCCAAACTTTTATCAGAACATTTTTTTTGATACTTGAATTTTTGGAGGCTTTGTACGTTGCTTCTACGCGAGTCTTTTTCTGATCGATACCAATACTTTGATAAAATGTGTCAGAATGTGCTTTATGGACAATCTAGCAGTAGCATGCATTGTGTGTTCCCCAGAAATTCCAACCCTCTTTTAAATAAGAGCAGTGAAGGAATTTCTGTGGAGCTCCACAGAGCAGTACAAACGGTGCAGCCAAATTCTGCCTTTGTGTTTCCCTGCCTGCATCAGCTCAAGCCCCAGGGGTGACTTGGGCCCAAAGGGCAGCAGCGTTTGCCTGGGGATCTTGAGGGCAGGATCCCATTGCCGGTACCCGGAGCCAGGTGTTGTGGCTGTGAAGCAGTTGTGCCAAACATCGGGGGGGGACAGGGGTGGTTCCTCTTTCACAAACTACCCCAAGTCTCCTCCGCTTCCTACCCAGAGCTGCAGCATCCGTTTGGTGGCGTCCGTCCATCGTCATCCCAGCGAGAAGGGAAGGGAAGGAACCGGCCTGGGAAGGGGAGGAGGGAGGGACGGATTCAGAAAGATCGGTGGAGTTGGGTTGTTGACATCGTTTGAGGGCAAATACGACAAAGAAAGCAACCCCTGTCACGCTGAATCGCACATTTGCTGATGAGTGATCTGCAACCTCTCAATTAAAACATAAAAATAACGAAGGATTCTTTCAAACACGTGGAATGAAAAAATTAAGGGGAAACTACTTTGTAGTCACTGTAATTCTGACTGCTGCATAATACTAGAAATTATTGTACTGTGAAGTTGCAAATTCAAAAAGGAACCAATATAAATTTCAATTTTGTGAGTATATCAATATTTTGCATGCTTTGTAAGGATTCTTATAGGAATTTAATATTGCTTAGTATCCCTCCCTCCTTAGGTCTGGGAGCAAACCTCTTTGTAATGTAATGTACAACTAGAAATTCCTTCTTTCTTGTATGTATTTCCACTACATTCCAACTTCTGAACCCGTAAAACAGAAAAAGTGTTTATAGTAGGAGGTGCTTTTGGGGGGAGGGAGGGAATGAAGGCAAGGAAACTTGAAGGCTTACGATTTTCATTTTTTTAATTTTACTGTATTTTTTTGCCTTTTTGAAGGCAAAAATGTGTCACAACCCTGAAAAACATTGACTTACGAAAAGTCACGTAGACCAGTAAACCACACTCTATGGTTTTGTTTTTATGTATTTGTTCTCATTTTGACTTGGGGGTTCTATAGCGTTGCAGGCTGGTGCGTGGTGCGTCGCAGGCAGCAGCACCTGCTCACGGCTGCAGGGAAAAGGAGAAAACCCAACGAGGCCAGTTGGGTGATGGCCTTTTCCTTTCGGTGTTTGGAATCTGTGGCTGCTCTTTGCAGTGTTGAAACTGGAAAGCAATACCATAATGACTGTGCCAATTTACTTTTGCCCAAGTTTTTTATTTTTATTTATACAGGAAGTTAATTTTAATATTAAGTTACTGATCTATAGTATGTAAACACGAGAAATTTGCTTTTGCTTTGGTTACTGTTACAGGTTGTTGCTTTTAGTCTTTCATTACAATGCTCAGTTTTAATGTAAGGTTATCTAACATGCAGGCATGTGGATCAGGGAAAAAAAAAAAAGTTAATTTAACTTAACCCGTTAATTATTTCTGTTAAGTATGAATATGTTTTTCCCCAAAGCTGGTAATTTTGGGCTGGAAAAGATAGCACATCTTATTGCTGATGATGAAATCATGGACTGATTTGAAATATGAGAATTGATTTCTTGAATTTCCTTTAATTTTGCAATTAATTTTTTTCAAATAGTCTTATGTTTTCAGAAATTAAGTATTTCTAAAAGGCATTTATGTTCTTTTCCCAGGGATGTTGGTTGGGTTTGTTTTTTTCTTTCTTTTGTTTTTTTCTTTCTTTGTTTTTTACTTTGTTATTTTTTTTAATAAGCCTTATCATACTTAAACAAAAAGGGACTTGCAAAACTTGGCTTTAGAGAAGGGCTTCTGATTTCTACTTCTGTATTTCCTTGCGAGTTGGGCCAGAAAACCTAACTCTTCCATTTTCTGTAAAAAGGTACAATATAAACAAAATAAGAGCAAACTAGCAAAAAATTACCCTTTACATGTGCACTGGGAGTTCATGCTCTTTCAGTTTCTTGTGTATTGAAGAGACCTTTCTAAAATGTAGGTTTCAGTAACAGGAATCTGAAATATTTAAACGTTCAACTAAGGAAATTCAGGTGATTAGGACAGTCTGTGTGTCGCCAGTTTAAGGAGAGGAATAAGCACCAGCTTCCTGGCAATTAGAAACTGTTTTAAAATTCTCATGGTTGTTTTGTTTTGTTTTGTTTTTTAACACGGAATAGGTTTTTAAGTGAAACTTTAAAAAGCTAAGTAAAGAGTTACAAGATCGGTTTCAGCTTTGTGTTTGCGTGTGCGTTGTCTGGGAGGGGAGCGTCTGAAACCAAATTGAAACACATCCATTAAAATGCTGCTGGTGTTCTTTATTCTTGCACAATCTTAACAAGTTGAGGTAGTAGCTAAGCTATTTCGGGCTGTATTTTAATGCTGCTATTTTTCAGTGTATCAGCTAAGGGCAAAAGACAGCAGAGTGGTGACTGTATGTGCTGGTGCCCCTGCCCGCCTCGCACGGGGCCACCAGCCTGCTCCCGGGGAAGCAAAACTGCAGCTGTTTTCGTTGGCCACGAGGTGGTGGAACCACAGAGTGTGTTTATGGGAGATGCAGTATTTTTACAGTTTATTCATGTTACCTGTTTAAAAATCTGTTTTATAGCTGTTTATGTTAGTTTTCTATGAATTTATTTAAACAAATGTACTGTTCTTTAAAGCATACGTGGATCTCCAAATTTGTTTGTTGCCCTTGTAACACTGGAAGGCATCACAACGTGTTCATTTATCTTAACGTGCCATTCTTTCAAGTCTGTATGAAATGTAAATTGACCAACATGGCTTTTAAAAATGTTTAAAATCTGATGTCAAAAACCTGACCCTCTTTGATTCCTCACTGGTTAATCCTTTTGTTTCAGTGCTTGATCACCTACTGGGATAACATCAGATGTGGCATTATTATGGAAATTTTAGTAAGAAATGTTTCAAGAAAAAACCCTACTCTTTCTCTTTTTACTTTAATTCAAGAAGATGGGGACTTTTAATAATAGAAGATGAGGAAGCTCATGTTAGACTAAAGGGATTTGTTTCTGTTCCCTGAAGAAGAAAAGTCTGAAAGGGCAATTCCTAAGTAGATAGGATCAAATTAATCAAATTTCTGGTGTAGTCAGCAAATCGCTTGCTTATGCCATGTTAAATTGGTAGTCCAGGTATTTTTACTTTTTAAACTTTGCTCACATTGTCATAGTACTGTTACCAGATACCATTCACTTCCTGTAACACAGGGTACGTGCAGCTGAGATACTGGAGCCTTAGATTATTATTAGCAATGAAATGAATGTTCTTATCTATTCTATGAATTTTCTCATTTAAGAGAATTAAATGCGTGATTGCCCTTAAAATCAACAGAAGCTCTAAAGAAAGCATTTACAGTTAATGTTTATTGCTTTACAAGGTTCTAGGGAGTAAAAGTAACACAAATGGAAGGGAGAACCATAATTAGGAGTCACTCAGATCACATCGTCTGGAACCAGGAAGAAGTTCTCATTACAAGTTACAGAGGAAGGCTCATGCTCTAGATAACTGTCAGCAAAGACCGTCTTGCTCACAAATAAACACTAATACAGGAACGCCAGGAATTTAGCTGCTGCAGCCTCCCAGTGCTGATGTGCTGCAACCCCTCTTTCTTGCCACTGGAAATTCACAGTTCAGTGCTAAGGGAGCAAAGCTCATCACTTGCTCTCTACCTTTTATTTTGAAGAAGGAAATATTACACTATTGTTTAAGCTAAAAGTCTGTTTCTCGGCTGCAAGGATAAAATGCCACAACGTGCTGTAATGATGAAGCAGCTGAAACAGTGGGACTGAAGCAAACCTGAGTGGACGTGTTGTCTTGATTCTCCTCCTTCCATACCCATATCACTAGATGTAGGCCTTTCAGGTCAAGCAAATACATAAATGGTATTGCCAGGAATTAGAAAATTATTAAATGAGCTAGTTTGCCTCCACTGTTGACCGTGTTACCATCGTACAGGGGAATTGCTGGAGACCATTGTAAATACATGCAGGGGAACCATGGGAGTCTTTCCCAAGTCACTTATTCCCTACTGTCATGTTTCACCCTGCAGTGAGAAAGACCCCTCCTTTTCCAGCAGAAACCCCTTCACATCACTCTGCACTGTCGGAACTACCCCACCGGGAGGTTCAGTTGGTAGCAGAGCTATCCCTGACATAACTAAACTATTTCCAGTCTTCCTGGTGTACAACAGACCAGGGTCTGCTAAAGCTCTGGGCTTGTGTAGGCCTGGTTTGTGAGTTAAGATTCTGTTATTTACACCTGTTCCAGCATCTTTGGGAATCAATATGATTACAGAGTCCCCAGACCTAGCAGGAGTGTTTGCTCTACTGCTTTGTCTTAATTGCAGTCATGTTCAAATCCTCTTGTCAAAAACGGTTCATCAGAGTGAAGAAAACCTTGTTTTGTTTTGTTTTGTTTTCCACTAGAGCTTTTATTTGTGTAACCATTGCAGTCTTTCTCCCCTGTGGTAAGACGTTCTGAGAACCCAAGACATTCTACAGATGAACCATTTCCCTAATCTGCAGAATGATTTATGTGACAAGGCCATGTTACAGCCCTGTGGATGTACGGAAGGGCAGGCTTGTGTACAAATCCGCTTCCTGCCTGGGAGGAGAAGGCAGCCGTGTTCTGCAGATGACCCCAAACAAGGATCACAACGAGCAGAGCCCACCAGTGCACAGATGGCCTCGGTCCCTAGATGCTCCCATCTCCCCTGGGGCAGTTTGGGCAAGGTCCAGAAGGCAGTTACGGGAAGAGATTCTGGTTCCTTCTTTTTGTGCCCAACTGAATGATCAAATGCCAATCTCCATAAAGCAGCTCCATTTGAGTCCCATTTTGAGAGAAACAGGGACTACACTAACTCTAGGGATTACACAAATAGTGAGCTGAAAACTGATCCGTATCTAAAAACTATTTCAAATATAGTAGGTGATAATGTAAAAGCTGCCATAGCAAAAGGACCCTTCTTCACAACACCCTCTTCGAATCCCTCCTTCCCTGCTTCTCACAGCCTAAGAGAAATCTGGTTTTGGGCTTCACACTTACATACAAAACTTGTGGAATCCTGGATAAAACTTAGCTACCCAGGGACAGATGTTTCAAGAGTCGGGTTATCAGTACTAAAAGTACAAGGCAGCAAAAAGAGGATAAGGAATTGTTGTCTTGGATGGCTGAGAAACACCACAGTGAAACTGAATTTAAAGATGATCTTACAGCAGGACACTGTGAAATGTTGACCTTTCTGTGTCTGTCCAGCAAAAAAAAATAAATAATAAAACTAAGCCTTCTCTTGCATATGTAAGTTATGTAGTTTGTTCTTATCTCTAGTATTGCAAATATCTATAATCCATGAAGAATTCCAAGAAAAGGGTTTAAGACTATTTATTTAAATATAAATACAATTAAATTATATAATCAGTGCTAAATTATCGGGTGTAGAAGACAACTTGTTATTGTTTGGCTAATTTGGGGTTTCATCGGAGTTAACGTCGTTGGCTTTGTTTTAACACTTCCATGTTAGGGAGTCAGTTTTTGACATTTTATACTGCTGTTGCTAGCGCTTCAGTATCTCATTGCGCTCTGGTTTTGGAAAAGAAAACCTAATCCTAATAGTTTAATACTGAAAGGTGTTGAAACTGTACTGCTAAACATCTCTCAGTTTAGGCCCAAAGAGCGGGGAAAAGGAAAGGGGAAAAAAAGGGGGGAATGTAATTCTGGATTTTATTTTTTTTTAATTTTCTGAGAAAAGTGATATGAAAAAGGGATCCAAAAACTGTATTTGGGAAAAAAAAAAAAAGGCATTTGTAGCCTTTCTTTGTACACAATGTTAAATAAAATCTCCTGTATCTATGTTTGTCAGGTTCACTTGGTCTTATTTAACTAAAAGCTGTGTCTACCTTAAACTGAATGTGCGAATTGCATTCAATTGAGTTTGCTAGAGGCATGGAATTTAGCACCAGCATCTCATGTTTTACAAGGTAAAAGCTGTATCACCTAAAATCTAGAGGCCAGTAGAGGGTTGCTGCTGAATTAAACTAAAACAACTATAATGTGTGGAAATAGTTTACGTGTAAGGTAGAGAAGTAGCTGGGCAAAACAGTCCATTTTTCCGATGAGTATTATGCCTTTTGCTTCAGAATGCAGCCAGTCTCAAGACATCAGAACCTTTACATTTGTGTACAGAGCACTTCAGCTGTAGTTATATATTAGCTAAGAAATCAGCTCTGGCCTCTAGTCCTTCAAACGCTGCATGAAATCAGTGGGTTTTGTAGGAAACGCTGTGGAAACTAAGTCAGGTATTTAAATCAAGCTCTCTTGGCGTTTTATTTAAATCAAATATTTAAATTAATAATGTAATTAAAGTACATTTGTCTTACTATAGTCAAAATTTAATATAGAATATAAACCTCTATAATAAAAAGATGCCTGCTTGAAAGCTGTCTACCTGATTTTCGTTCAGTGTGGATCACAAACATGACACATCTCAACGGCAATATCCAAAGTAGAGAAAAATGTAGCTGACTGTACAGTGTTTAAAACTACACTGAAATGAGATGCGGGTCAAGACAAAATGTCATGCTTACCTCTGAAGAGTGAAAAGAATGGGAAGCTCCTAAATACTGTTAATACTTCTTACCAGTGGTGTATCTGGATAATATAAAATAGTTTCAAATAGTTTTCAGATAGCTTCAATGTGGGATTTTTCTGCAAAACGGCTCTCAATTGGAAAGCAAACCTTTGTAGTGCAACCACATCGAATGGTATTAGGCTACCCCTGAGTGAGCCTGGAAGGTGTCATGTCCTACCCCTGGTGCTGGCTCCTGCCAGGAGCTCTGCTCACACAGCCACGCTACTACCACGTCAAGCTCTTCACCAACTACCACGCTGGGGCTTCTCAGCTGCTTCTCTGAGCTGCTTTCTCCCACCTGAAGACCCTGGGAGACACTGAACGCTGCCGCTGGCTTGAGATGAATCGCAGAGCACAAGCTTGTGCAAATTCAGCCACTGCACACTTACACCACTTCCCTGTAACGAGAAAGAACAAACAGAACAAACAGAACTTAGGGCTGGAGAAGGATGAGAAAGAACAGGAGTGCATGATAACCATGGATGTTCTGTGCAAATTGCTACACAGTCCCCTCCTGAACAGGTGTCTTTTCATATTCCAGGCAGCCCTCGAGCTGCTTCCCGAGGCTTGGAGGGGCTGCCCGAGGCAGCTGCCCTGCAGGGTACAGCTCTCTGTCTGAGACAGGATGGGCTGTACCTGCCCCTCTCCCGAGACATCTGTCTGCTCTTTGTTAGAAGCCTCCAATTACGGAGATTCTGCAATCCTCTTGGGCAATCTCATCTAGAATATAACCACAATGAGAAAGTTTTCCTAGGAGACAGTTGAACCACTCTTGCGCACATTACAGGATATAATGCTGCCATATTATGCAGGTTTTTTTCAGTGACCTTTTAAGTTCCTGAACTAGGATACCAGCTGCACGCACCGTCAGCTTGTTCATTAATGCACTGAGCTGAATGAAACACGTTCTGTTTCCTGCTAGAAAACAGGAGGCAGAGCCCCTTTGTGGGCTACGGCAAGAAATACATTGTACAAATCAAATGCAGACATATTTCACATCCCTAATACAGAAGGAATGCTGCTGATTGTCACTGAAATGCTATTTTTAAACTGATAAATAACTTAAAAATCAATCCAAAGGTAGAAATATAGAACAACCTTTTGTTGAACAAATCATGGATCCGAAAACCTAATGGAGTGACACTGGTCATATTGTCAGGTAACAAACATCAGAAA